GATGGCTTCACAGCTGAATTCTACCAAATATTTAGAGAAGAGCTAACATGTATTCTACTCAAACTCTTCCAGAAAATTGCAGAGGAAGGTAAACTTCCAAACTCATTCTATGAGGCCACCATCACCCTAATACCAAAACCTGACAAAGATGGCACAAAAAAAAGAAAACCACAGGCCAATATCACTGATGAACCTAGATGCAAAAATCCTTAACAAAATTCTAGCAAACAGAATCCAACAACATATTAAAAAGATCATACATCATGACCAAGTGGGTTTTATCCCAGGGATGCAAGAATTCTTCAATATCTGCAAATCAATCAATATAATATACCACATTAACAAATTGAAAAACAAAAATCATATGATTATCTCAATAGATGCAGAGAAAGCCTTTGACAAAATTCAACATCCATGTATGATAAAAACCCTCCAGAAAGCAGGAATAGAAGGACCATACCTCAACATAATAAAAGCTATATATGACAAACCCACAGCAAACATTATCCTCAATGGTGAAAAATTGAAAGCATTTCCCCTAAAGTCAGGAACAAGACAAGGATGCCCACTCTCACCACTACTATTCAACATAGTTTTGGAAGTTTTGACTACAGCAATCAGAGCAGAAAAATAAATAAAAGGAATTCAGATTGGAAAAGAAGAAGTAAAGCTCTCACTGCAGATGACATGATCCTCTACACAGAAAACCCTAAAGCCTCCATCAGAAAATTACTAGAGCTAATCAATGAATATAGTAAAGTTGCGGGATATAAAATCAACACAGAGAAATCTCTTGCATTCCTATACACTAACAATGAGAAAACAGAAAGAGAAGTTAAGGAAACAATTCCATTCACCGTTGCAATGAAAAGATTAAAATACTTAGGAATATATCTACCTAAAGAAACAAAAGACCTATATATAGAAAACTATAAAACACTGGTGAAAGAAATCAAACAGGACACAAATAGATGGAGAAATATACCGTGTTCATGGATCAGAAGAATCAATACAGTAAAAATGAGTATACTATACAAAGCAATCTATAGATTCAATGCAATCCTTCTCAAGCTACCAATGGTATTTTTCACAGAACTAGAACAAATAATCTCACAATTTGTATGCAAATACAAAAAACCTCGAATAGCCAAAGCAATCTTGAGAAAGAAGAATGGAACTGGAGGAATCAACCTGCCTGACTTCAGGTTCTACTACAAAGCCACAGTCATCAAGACAGTATGGTACTGGCACAAAGATAGGAATATAGATCAATGGAACAGAATAGAAAGCCCAGAGATAAATCCACATACCTATGGACACCTTATCATTGACAAAGGAGGCAAGAATACACAGTGGGAAAAAGACAAACTCTTTAACAAGTGGTGCTGGGAAAATTGGTCAACCACTTGTAAAAGAATGAAACTAAAACACTATCTAACACCATACACAAAAATAAACTCAAAATGGATTAAAGATCTAAATGTAAGACCAGAAACTATAAAACTCCTAGAGGAGAACATAGGCAAAATACTCTCCGACATAAATCGCAGCAGGATCCTCTATGACCCACCTCCCAGAATATTGGAAATAAAAGCAAAAATAAACAAATAGGACCTAATGAAACTTAAAAGCTTTTGCACAACAAAGGAAATTATAAGCAAGGTGAAAAGACAGCCCTCAGATTGGGAGAAAATAATAGCAAATGAAGCAACAGACAAAGGATTAATCTCAAAAATATACAAGCAACTCCTACAGCTCAATTCCAGAAAAATAAATGACCCAATCAAAAAATGGGCCAAAGAACTAAACAGACATTTCTCCAAGGAAGACATACAGATGGCTAACAAACACATGAAAAGATGCTCAACATCACTCATTATCAGAGAAATGCAAAATCAAAACCACAATGAGGTACCATTACACACCAGTCAGGATGGCTGCTATCCAAAAGTCTACAAGCAATAAATGCTGGAGAGGGTGTGGAGAAAAGGGAACCCTCTTACACTGTTGGTGGGAATGCAAACTAGTACAGCCACTATGGAGAACAGTGTGGAGATTCCTTGAAAAACTGGAAATAGAACTGCCATATGACCCAGCAATCCCACTGCTGAGCATACACACTGAGGAAACAAGCATTGAAAGAGACACATGTACCCCCAATGTTCATCACAGCACTGTTTATAATAGCCAGGAGATGGATGCAACCTAGATGTCCATCAGTAGACGAATGGATAAGAAACCTGTGGTACATATACACAATGGAATATTACTTAGCCATTAAAAAGAATACATTTGAATCAGTTCTAATGAGGTGGATGAAACTGGAGCCTATTATACAGAGTGAAGTAAGCCAGAAAGAAAAACACCAATACAGTATACTAGCGCATATATACGGAATTTAGAAAGATGGTAACAATAAACCTGTATGCGAGACAGCAAGAGAGACACAGATGTATTAAACAGTCTTTTGGACTCTGTGGGAGAGGGCGAGGGTGGGAAGATATGTGAGAATGGCACTGAAACATGTATATCATCATATGTCAAATGAATCACCAGTCCAGGTTCTATGCATGATACAGGGTGCTCGGAGCTGGTGCACTGTGATGACCCAGAGGGATGAGATGGGGAGGGAGTGGGAGGGGGGCTCAGGATGGGGAAGACATGTACACTCTTGGTGGATTCATGTCAATGTATGGCAAAACCAATACCATACTGTAAAGTAATTAGCCTCTGATTAAAATAAATATATATTTAAAAAAATTTTTTTAATAAAACAACTTAGTTTCTGAAATTAAATTTTCAACTCTAGTTTAAGTAATTTTCTAGTCACCAAACTTGTATAGCCAATTTTTCAAAGACATAATCTTGCAGTTGTTTTCTCAGCTACTTCTATTACCCCAAAATATCATTCATTTAATATTTATTATATGTAAGATGAGAGTGAAAAAGCTGGGTTAAAATTCAATATTCAAAAAACCAAGATCATGGCATCCAGTCCCATCACTTCATGGCAAATAGATGGTGAAAAATGGAAACAGCGTCATATTTTATTTTAGTGGGCTCCAAAATCACTGCAGCCTGAAATTAAAAGTTGCTTGCTTCTTGGAAGAAAAGCTATGACAAACCTAGACAGTGTATTAAAAAGCAGAGGCATCACAAAGGTCCATGTAGTCAAAACTATGTATGGTTTTCCCAGTAGTCATGTGCACATGTTAGAGTTGGACCATAAATAAGTTTGAATGCCCAAGAATTAATGCTTTTGAACTGTGGTGCTGAAGACTCTTGAGAGCCCCTTGGACAGCAAGGAGATCAAACCAGTCCATCAATTCTAAAGGAAATCAAACCTGAATACTCATTGGAAGGACTGAAGCTGAAGTTCCAATACTTTGACTGCCTGATGTGAAGAGCCAACTCACTGGAAAAGACCCTGATGCTGGGAAAGATGGAAGGCAGGTGGAGAAGGGGGCAACAGAGGATGAAATGGTTGGATGTCATCACCGATTCAATGGACATGAGTTTGAGCAAACTCCTGGAGAAAGAGAAGGACAGAGAAGCCTGGTGTGCTGCAGTCCACAGGGCATAAAGAGTCAGACATGACTTAGTGATTGAACAATAAACAATAATATTTTATAGTACATATTATATATGTATATTACATTTTAACATTATGATACTATGTATCAGTATATATTATAATCATTTATGAAAATAGTGACTTTTCACCATGATTCCTCGAATTCATTTTTCTATTTCAGTATGATTCTATTAGCTGAAATACATTAAAATCAGACCTAATAAAGTAGATCCTGTAAGTGAATTTGTATTTCAGTTATAACAATGAATGCTTATGACATTAAAGCCAAGAGGAGTCTTTACCACTGTGCCACCTGGGAAACCTTCTTACAGCTTTCTATTTACTAAAAGCAGAATGAAACTAAAAATAGGAAAAGATCAACTTAAAATTCCTTAAAGATTTTTAAAGATTTCAGTGATTCTCAGAAATTCAGTGACTACACTAATTCTGATGGTAACCTTTAGCACTTTGTAAGTTTTAATGATAGCTGTAGCAAAACATAACTGATATGAAATACTTTTTACCTAATACTAAGTTGTATCTGGAGACATAGGAAATGGCAATGCCTCCCTACTATGCAAAGATCAGATTTTACTAAACAGTATTAGGACTTACATGGGTATTGAAAAATCCAACTGATATTAATTCCCTGACAATCTGAGGCTCAGATCTTACAGAAGAAGCATTTGATGTACTGTCAAACTCCTTTCTGTGCAAACATCTGTCACCTCCTCACGTTGAAAAGTGTTTTTACTTTTCAAACTCCAAGAGCCATCAGTAAGGCTAATCTCCCATTTCTTTGCCCATTTTATTTTTTCCTGTTCCTAGACAAGGCAGAATATGGCAGAAGGGCCCTTTAACTAGCAAGTCACTTGATAACCTCTAAATTTCTCACAGTTCCCAAAGCTGTTGGTGTTCAGTTGAACAACAAAACTGGCTCCCAGAGTCCAAGCCTTTGGTGGTCCATCGTCCAGGTGTGCTGTGTACCTCTGTCGCATAAAGCCCCTCCTTTCGGGGGCCCTGCAAGGTGACTAATGACTTCTCTGGTTCCTCAAACTTTTTTTTTCCCCCTGCCAGAAATCAGCAACCACGTCTGTAAGGTAAAATCTGCCTAGAGAAGGCTGGGATGGAGAATGTATCCTCAACACTGGGGATCAAATGGTCGCCCTGCAGGAGGAACTCAGAAAGGAGCCCCAGAATCGCGAGTCCTTAAGGACAAAGGGGGGCACAGAGCCTCCTGGAAACCACCACCGAGAGTTGAAATTAAAGACCCTTCCATACAAAGAGGAAACGAGAAAATAGAGGAGGTAGGCGGACAAATCTCAGGTACCCTGAAGAAGAAGGGGTGGACCCTGGATGGCTTCAGGGCAGGGCCTGGAGGGCTTCGGAGAGGGCGCACCCATCCCTCCGCAATGGAGCCTCTCACCCTTGGGTCCTGCTCGCAGGGGTAACCCTCGCTCTGCCATCCTTGAGAGGCCGGGGCGCCCCGCCCAGGAGCTTGCAAGCGAGCCCAGCGGTGCTCGTGCTCTCCACTCGGGATCCGTGGCCTGGGCTGGGCCAGCCAGAGGCCAACTGTCACGGCCTTGGCAACGCTTCCTTTACCTGGCAACGCCCAGCGCAGCTTACTTAGGCCCCTTTGTATTCACTCAGGCCCCGCCCCCTGCGAATGGGCCTTTGTGCGCAAGCGCGTGGGCGGGACCCAGTTTGGAGCTTGAAAGCGGGTCTCCTGATGGAGCCTTGGAATTGTCTCAACCCCTTAGAGGTGGAGAGAGGACTGTGTCACTTGCCACTGCATCAGTCACAGACAGCATTCCCTAAAAAAGCCGATCAGGGAATAGAGACCATCGGGCTTCTGGTCCCTGATACTAAATACTAAATATCTCCTATCTGTCTTAAATTAACTCTTAATTTAATCAATCCATAGGTCTGAGAATAGTGCCTGACAATTTAGTAAACTTATGATAAATGACATCTATAGCTTTAATTATTTTTTCCAACATTACCTTCATTACTATATTTAAATATACTGCCTCTTTACTTACAACTCTCAAATTTGTTTCCTTAACCCAGATCTCTAAACTCTAGACTTATGTAACCAAGGTGTATTCAGCATCCATGTGTGTGAAAGTTGCTCCGTCTTGTCCAACTCTTTGCGACCCCATGGCCTATACAGTTTATGGAATTCTCTAGGCTAAAATACTGGAGTGGGTAGCCTTTCCCTTCTCGAGGAGATCTTCCCAACCCAGCGATCAAACCCAGGTCTCCCGCACTGCAGGCGGATTCTTTACCAGCTGAGCCCCAAGGAAAGCACTATTCAACATCCGTATGGTTGTCCAAAACAACTACCCTCCAAACACTCATGCTTAATCCTTCCCCTTCCATGGTCTCCCACTTTCAGTAAGTGGTCACTAGAGTCCATTTTCTCTTGCTATTTGTCAGCAACATATCCATCCATCTGCAAAATCTGTTGGCTTTACTGTATCCATCCAGCCCAAGCCACCATCACTTTTCTCCTTCTGGTTATTGCAGTAGTTCCCAACAGGCTTCTCTTGTCCCCTGCAGTCTATTCTCAGCAAAACAATAGACTTGATCTTATTAAATCCTAAATAAAATTATGTCATTTCTCTTCTCCTAATCCTGCAATGGTTTCCCATTTTACAGAGTAAAAACCACTAAAGCCTGACAAGATTTGCATTCAATCACTCCTCCCTTGTGCTGTAGCCCTGGATCACACTGCTCAGCAACAGTGACCTGGCTGTTCATCTCCTAGCTCCCACAGTAAGGAGCTAGTTGTAGCCACCTCCTTCCATTTATCCCCTTGACTCACTTCCTTGTCTTCAATTCTTTGTTAATATCTCAACTCACCCATCTTCATCCACCTAGCTCGCTCCTCCCATCGTGTTCTCTAGTCCTCTTACTATTTTCTAGTGTTTCTTTTTTCCACAAGTCTGATCACCTCCTAACATACTATTTTCATATTGCTTTTTTCCTTTTCTTAGTATAATTTTTTTATATTGGTTGTTTCTTTTTAAAAAAAATTTTATTGAAATATAGTTGCTATACAATATTGTGTTAGTTTTTACTGCACAGCAAAGTGAATCAGCTATGAAAGTGAAAGTGTTAAAGCCACAGTCATCAAGACAGTATGGTACTGGCACAAAGACAGAAATATAGATCAATGGAACAGAATAGAAAGCCCAGAGATAAATCCACGAACCTATGGTCACCTTATCTTTGACAAAGGAGGCAAGGATATACAATGGAAAAAAGACAACCTCTTTAACAAGTGGTGCTGGGAAAACTGGTCAACCACCTGTAAAAGAATGAAACTAGAACACTTTCTAACACCATACACAAAAATAAACTCAAGATGGATTAAAGATCTAAATGTAAGACCAGAAACTATAAAACTCCTAGAGGAGAACATAGGCAAAACACTCTCCGACATAAATCACAGCAGGATCCTCTATGACCCACATCCCAGAATTTTAGAAATAAAAGCAAAAATAAACAAATGGGACCTAATGAAACTTAAAAGCTTTTGCACAACAAAGGAAACTATAAGCAAGGTGAAAAGACAGCCCTCAGATTGGGAGAAAATAATAGCAAACGAAGCAACAGACAAAGGATTAATCTCAAAAATATACAAGCAACTCCTCCAGCTCAACTCCAGAAAAATAAATGACCCAATCAAAAAATGGGCCAAAGAACTGAACAGACATTTCTCCAAGGAAGACATACAGATGGCTAACAAACACATGAAAAGATGCTCAACATCACTCATTATCAGAGAAATGCAAATCAAAACCACAATGAGGTACCATTACACACCAGTCAGGATGGCTCCTATCCAAAAGTCTACAAGCAATAAATGCTGGAGAGGGTGTGGAGAAAAGGGAACCCTCTTACTGTTGGTGGGAATGCAAATTAGTACAGCCACTATGGAAAACAGTGTGGAGATTTCTTAAAAAGCTGGAAATAGAACTGCCATATGACCCAGCAATCCCACTTCTGGGCATACACACCGAGGAAACCAGATCTGAAAGAGACACGTGTACCCCAGTGTTCATGGCAGCACTGTTTATAATAGCCAGGACATGGAAGCAACCTAGATGCCCATCAGCAGACGAATGGATGAGGAAGCTGTGGTACATATACACCATGGAATATTACTCAGCCATTAAAAAGAATTCATTTGAATCAGTTCTAATGAGATGGATGAAACTGGAGCCCATTATACAGAGCGAAGTAAGCCAGAAAGATAAAGACCATTACAGTATACTAACACATATATATGGAATTTAGAAAGATGGTAACGATAACCCTATGTGCAAAACAGAAAAAGAGACTCCTATGTATAGAACAGACTTGTGGACTCTGGGAGAAGGCGAGGGTGGGATGTTTCAAGAGAACAGCATTGAAACACGTATATTATCTAGGGTGAAACAGTTCACCAGCCCATGTTGGGTGCATGAGACAAGTGCTCGGGCCTGGTGCACTGGGAAGACCCAGAGGGATTGGGTGGAGAGGGAGGTGGGAGGGGGGACCGGGATGGGGAATACATGTAAAAAAAAAAAAAAGATACACTATGGTTGTGATAAAAAAAAAATAAATTAAAAAAAAAAAAAGAAAGTGAAAGTGTTAGTCTCTCAGTCATGTCTGACCCTTTGTGACCCCATGGAATGTAACCCACCAGGCTCCTCTGTCCGTGGAATTCTCCAGGCAAGACTACTGAAATGGGTTGATATTCCCTTCTCCAGGGGATCTTCCCAACCCAGAGTTGAACCCAGGTTTCCTGCCTTGCAGGTAGATTCTTGACCGTCTGATCCACCAGAAAACATATACATATATCCCCTTTTATTCGGATTTCCTTCCCATTTAGGTCACCATGGAGCATAGTAGAATTCCCTGTGCTATACAGTAGGTTCTTGTTAGTTATCTGTTTTTCACATTGTATCAATAGTGTATATATGTCAATCTCAGTCTCCCAATTCATTCCACCCCCATTGCCTGTTTATATTTTAGTATTTATCTTTCACTAGAATGTAGTTTCCATCAAGAGAGATATTGTTCATTAAACTCCAAGAACAGTGTCTAGCACTAAGTAGGTACTAAAACAGCATATTCTGAATAAATATATTTCACCACTACTGCTACTGTGATGCTGTGGAAGCAGTATAGCATGGTGGCTAGGAGATACATTCATCTGTTGATTCCATGTCTTGGCAATTGTAAATAATGCTGCTGGATGCTTATTCCTTTGAAGAAAAGCTATGACCAACATAGACAGCATATTAAAAAGGAGAGACATTACTTTGCCAACAAAGGTGCATCTAGTCAAAGCTATTGTTTTTCCAGTGGTCATGTATGGATGTGAGAGTTGGGCCATAAAGAAGACTGAGGACCAAAGAATTGATGCTTTTGAACTGTGATGTTGGAGAAGACTCTTGAGAGTTCCTTGGACTGCAAGGAGATCAAACCAGTCAATCCTAAAGAAAATCAACCCTGAATATTCGTTGAAAGGACTGATGCTGAAGCTCCAATACTTTGGCCAATGTGAAGAGCTGACTCATTGAAAAAGACCCTGATGTTGGGAAAGATTGAAGGCAGGAGAAGGGGACGACAGAGGATGAATTGGTTGGATGGATCACCAACTCGATGGACTTGAGTTTGAGTAAGCTTTGGGAGATGGTGAAGGACAGTGTGCTGCAGTCCATGGGGTCACAGAGAGTTGGACACAACTGAGCGGCTGAACAACAACAATGAACACTGGTTAATTCTTTTTGAATTAATGGGTTTCTTTTTTGATATATACCTATGAGTGGAACTGATGAGTCATATGATATTTTGGATATATATCCTATTTTTAGTTTTTTGAGAAACTTCTATACTGTTTTCCACAGTGGCTGCACCAACTTGTATTTCCATCAACAGTGTACAAGGGGTCTCTTTTCTCTACATCTTCACCAGTATTTATTATTTGTGTTCTTTTTGATGATAGTCATCCTGACAGGTGTAAGGTACTATCTCATTGTAGTATTAATTTGCATTTCTCTGTTGATTAGTGATCCTGAGTATCTTTTCAAGTCCCTGTTGGTCATCTGTATGTCTTCTTTGGAAGAATGTCTATTCAGGTCTTCTACCCATTTTTAAATTGGGTTGTTTAGGGGAGGTTGCTGTTAATTGTATGAACTGTTTATGTATTTTGGATATTAACCCAAATTTATGTTGTTGTTTAGTCTCTAAGTCATGTTTGACTCTTTTGAGATACCATGGGCTGTATAAGTCATATTACTTGCAAATATTTTCTTCCATTTTGTAGGTTATATTTTGGTTTTGTCACTGGCTATCTTTGCTGTGCAATAGTTTTAAAGTTTAATTAGGTCCATATGTTTATTTTGCTTTTATTTCCTTTGCTTTAGGAGCAGGCCTCCAAAAAAAAAATATATTGCTACAATTTATGTCACAGTATTACACCTGTGTTTTCTTCTAAGAGTTTTATGGTTTCTTTTCTTACATTCAGGCCTTTAATCTATATTGAGTTATCTCTGCATATGATGTTGTAAAAGAATGAAATTAGAATCTTTTCTATGTAGCTGTCTGATTTTCCCAACACCACTGTTGAAGAGACTGTCTTTTCTCCATTAGATATACTTGCCTCCCTTGTTGTAGATTAATTGACCATGAGTGCATGGGTTTATTTCTGGGATTTCTATCCTGTTCCACTGATCTATGAGTCTGTTCTTGTGCCAGTGCCATATTGTTTTGATGATTGTAGCTTTGTAGTCAAGTCTGAAGTCAGGGAGTGTTATTCCTCCAACTCTGTTCTTCTTTCTCAATATTGTTGGCTATCAGAGTGTTTTGTGTTTCCACATAAATTTTAAAATTACTTGTTATAGTTCTGTGAAAAATGCTTTTGGTATTTTGATAGGGATTGTGTTGAATCTTACATTGGAAATGTGGAATCTTAACCACTGGACCCCCAGGGAAACCTCATAGCTAGGTAGTGTCTTCTTAATCAGTCGGCTCCTATAGAGAAGGAATATCCCTACCAATCTTGTTTACTTTGTTCACATTCTCCTATCTGAGTGAGTGAAAGCCACTCAGTTGTGTCCGACTCTTTGTGACCCCATGGACATGGAATTCTCCAGGCCAGGTATACTGGAGTGAGTAGCTGTTCCCTCCTCCAGGGGATCTTCCCAACGTAGGGATCAAACTCAGGTCTCCCACATTGCAGGTGGATTCTTTACCAGCTGAGCCACCAGGGAAGCCCTATGTACTCTCTAATTTTTTTTTTCAAATCTATTGAAGTATAATTGAAATGCAATAAAAGCACATATTTAGCAGCATGTAATTCAATAAGTTTTGGCATATGTATATACCTGTGAAATCATGACCACATCAAGTTAATGAACTTGTTTCCTTATGTACAAAGTTGACTGTTGATTGCTTTCTGTCACTTTAGATCAGTTTACATTTTTCTTTAATTTTATATAAATGGCATAATATAGTATGTACTCTTCTTTTGTCTGGCTTCTTTTGCTCAGCATAATTATTTTGAGACTCATTTCTGTTGTTTTGTTGTATTAATCACTCATCCCTTTTTCCTCCCAATTGTATTGTGATATTATTTTTATATAACATTGCATAAGTTTAAGGTGAACAGCATAATATCTTGAAACATGTATATGCTGCACCAACATATGATCACTACAATAAATCTAGCTAACATCCATCACTTCATATAGTTAGGTTTTTTTCCTGTGATGAAAACTTTTAATATCTACTTCTTCAGTAACTCTCAAGTATACACTGGGCTTCCCTGGTGCCTCAGATGGTAAATAATCTGTTTGCAATGCGGTAGACCTGGGTTTGATCCCTGGGTTGTGAAGATCCCCTGGAAGTGGGCATGGCAACCCACTCCAGTATTCTTTCCTGGAGAATCCCCATTGACAGAGGAGCCTGGCTGGCAGGCTACAGTCCATGGGGTCACAAAGAGTTGGACACGACTGAGCGACTAAGTGCAAGTATACACTACAGTATTGTCAATTGTAGTTGCTATGCTGTACATTCCATTCCATAACTTTTCCATTTATAACTGGAAGTTTGTACCTTTTGACCACCTTCACTCATCTCTCCCACACCCCTCATCCTTCTCTGGCAACCACCAATCTGTTCTTTGTTTCCAAGAGTTGGATTTCTTTAGATTCCACATACCAGTGAGATCATATAGTAGTATGTGCCCAGTAAATAATAATGGCTAATATTTACTGGAGGCTTCTCTGGTGGCTCAGATGGTAAAGAATCTGCCTGCAATGCAGGAGACCCAGGTTGGATCTCTGAGTTGGGAAGATCCCCTGGAGAAGGGAATGGCAACTCACTCCAGTATTCTTGCCTGGACAATCCCATGGACAGAAGAGCTTGGTGGGCTACACTTCATGGGGTCGCACAGAGTTGGACACGACTGAGTGTCTAATATTTATTGAGCTCTTAGCATTTTCCAGGGCATTGTGTGGGCTTTATTGTTATCTCCATCTTAAGATGAGAAAACTGAGTTTCAGAGAGGTTACCTTAACCAGGATCACATAAATAGTAGTGGCTCAGATGAATTGCTAATCAGGGCCTGTATTTTCTTTTCTAAAAGAATAGCATAGAACATAGTATGTGTATAATGCAAGTTATTCATATTGTCAACTGAAAAAAAAGCACAACCTAAATATATGGCTCACTCATCCTAAAAGTACACATTACATGCCTCTGGGCTATGCTTATCCATCTTCACTATTTTCTATCCTATCCTATCATTTTATTCTAACTCTCTATTTGTCTTTATTTTCTTGTATTGTATCCATTGTGGAAAGAGGAGAGGATAAACACAGGAACAAATAAAAAAATAAAAATATGAACCTTATCAAGACTTGTGGCCAGGAGCTTCATTGTCAGAAGTAGACACATTGGATTCTGCGGATATCAGGATCAGTGCAAGATCTGGTTTTAGGTATAGACAGCCTAGCCACAGCGACACCCTCTTTTATCCTATGACAAACCATCTTATACCAGATCAAAGGTGTTGGCAATACTAGCAGAGTATTTTACTCAGAGTAGTGACAATGGTGTGTACTTCTCCCCCACCCTTTTCTCTTCTTACTCTTCCTCTCCTCCTCCTCCTCCTCCTCCTTCTCCTCAGCACTTCATCAGAATCTGTAGTTGAATAGAACTGACTGACAGGGCTGCAGGAACATGTTAATATTCCCTGAGGGTGACATTCCAATTCTTGATTTCACTGGTTAGAATGAATTGTTACTGGAATTATTCCTACATTATCTTGTGTCTCTGTGGAAGCATTTATTTACCATGTCCTGCAAAGGTCTATCTTCAAATTGATTTAAAATGGCTTATAAGCACATCTTAGTCATCTCTGTCATCATGGCAGGGTTTGTACAGTGCTAGCATAAAGTAGTAGCTTGCACAATGCTAAGCACAAATCATGGGTGTTGGAGTTCTGATTAAAATAATACTGTGGTGTCTAAAGAGACTTGCTGCAAAGGGGATGCAGGTAATGCTATTGCGACTATTTGGTGAACGTTAATACTTTCACAAGACTTCTCCAATGGCTCAGTGATAAAGAATCCACTGCAGTGCAGGAGACAAAAGAGTCATGGGTTCCATCCCTGGTTCGGGAAGATCCCCTGGAAGAGGAAATGGCAACCTACTCCACTATTCTTGCCTGGGAAATCCTACAGACAGAGGAGCCTGGTGGGCTACAGTCCATAGAGTTACAAAGAGTCAGACACGACTGAGCATGTAGGCCCACACAATACTTTAGCAAACCTTTCCATAAAATTGCTTTGATGTTTAAAAACTCCAGACCTTTCATCTATCACCCTACCATTTTTTTTTTATACATCTTTCTAACTTCCAGAAAACAACAAAAAACAACAAAACACCTCAGAAGAGTTGGAGGTTGGGGAGGCTAGCAGCTAAACTCTCCCTGGGATCTTTACTTATCTACCCTAAGATCATGCATCTGAGCTTGACTGTCAGAGATTGTGTAGTTTACTCAGTTTGTAGATTATGAATGGAAACGGGGACTACTAGTTTTCGAATATACTGCAAGACTGATACAATTTTCTCACACAATCTTCACGATTACCCAATAAAGAAGACACTGGGAAAGGACGAGAAGGAACAGAAGCCAAAGCAAGCTTTCAGAAACACAGTGGACAAGAAGGAAGCGGAACGCAGTCCGGTTTCAAAGCCAAGCACCGCATCCCGCTTCGCATCCTTGGATGTAGTCGCCTGCTCTGGACGTTGTCTCCCTTCGCATTCTTGTTCCTGCACAGACCCAGGCAACTCTTCACCAAAGCGACGATGTGTTGTGCCAAGGTATCTGGGAGGAGCCCCACTGCTCGCGCTACAGCCTAGATTCCACCCAGCCTCTCAGCTGTGAACGCGGAGCAGCCCAGGTGGCTGTTTTAACCTGCAGGTGACGGGAGGCCGGAACTGACAGGAAGCTCGTTGGCACCGCCCACCCCGGACGCGGAGCTGCTCTGATTGGACTTTGCTGCGCCCGGCCGGCCAATGGTGAGGCGGTAGCAAGTTCCCGGAAGTGGCGGCGCGGCGGGCGGAGGCTGGGGCTGGCGCGGCGGGCGGAGGCTGGGGCTTCCGCGGCTCACTTGCGAGGAAACTAGTCCGCAAAGGTTGATCGACGCTATGAGCTCCTTCGAGGGTCAGATGGCAGAGTATCCAACCATCTCCATAGACCGCTTCGACAGGGAGAACCTGAGGGCCCGTGCCTACTTCCTGTCCCACTGCCACAAAGGTGAGTGAGCGCAGCGCGTCGCCTCCTCCCGGGCTGCGCGGGATCGGGCCCCTAGAGGAGGTCACCCACGTCTGGAGAGAGGGAAGGCGAGGGTCTTACAGGAGGAAGTGCAGGCTTTGGGAGGCGGTGCGAGAAACGAGCTTGGACTTTGTCCCAGCCGGGCTCTTCAGTCTATCTGAGGTTTTATCTTCTCATCCCTCATACTGCGGGATAGAACAGCAACTACCAGTTGCCACTGACCCACGCCACTTTGACCTGCCACAACTGTTCGGTTCTTTTGAAAGCTCTCCCAGTGCCCAATAGTCAGAGGTTGACGGATATTACTTATTTCTTCCCCCACATCCTCGGGATTATGTTCTAGAGACAAGTTTAGATGAAATTCTTCCATACAGTTCAGTTTAGTTTTTCAGTCGTGCCCGACTCTTTGCGACCCCATGGACTGCAGCACGCCAGGCTTCCCTGTCTATCACCAACTCCCGGAGCTTGCTCAAACTCATGTCCGTCCAGTCAGTGATGCCATCCAACCATCTCATCCTCTGTCGTCCCCTTCTCCTGTTGCCTTCAATCTTGCCCAGCATCAGGGTCTTTTCCAGAGTCAGTTCTTCGCATCAGGTGGCCAAAGTGTTGGTGCTTCAACTTCAGCAACAGTCCTTCCAATGAATATTCAGGACTGATTTCTTTTAGTACTGACTGGTTTGATCTCCTTGCAGTCCAAGGGACTCTCAAGAGTCTTCTGCAGCACCACAGTTCAGAAGCATCAATTCTTTGGTGTTCAGCTCTCTTTATAGTCCAACTCTCACATCCATATATGACTTCTGGAAAAACCATAGCTTTGACTGGACAGACCTTTCTTGGCAAAGTAATGTCTCTGCTTTTTAACATGCTGTCTAGGTTTGTCATAGCTTTTTTTCAGAGGAGACGCGTCTTGTGCCATACTCCCACACACATGCATGCAAGCATGCAGGCACTGAAAAGTCCTGTCTGTAAGCTCAACGAAGTGCAAGCTCCCCTCCCTTATAGATCTTCTGTCTAGAAGTGGGATGCAGGTTTCTTTTATAGAGAGCCAGGTCAGGTAACTAGAATACTAATGTTTCACAGCTGGAAGTTGTTAGGAATTAAGCATGGCATCACCCCCTAATGATAGGGTCCCAAGGCTAACTGCTCCAGGCAAGGCTGGAGCATCTCTAAAATGTTTTAGCCAGTCTCCAGGGCTGGGGTGCCTGCTGATTTCACAACCACTTTCCATTTTAACATCTGACATACTGACTGATAGGTCACTAACTTTACCTATGAAAACAGGTTCCATATTCATTGTGCTAATTAGCACAGCCTTGGGCATTGACCAGAGATGAAGCTTCACTGAAGCAGTCTGGAAGCTGCCTCTTGAGTGTGGACTTCCAGAGTAGCTTAAGTAGGATCCCCAACCCCTATTTTGAGGAGTGACTCAGATACTTATTCATGTACAAATCACACCGTGTGATATTAAAGTCAACTGCAGACACCACAACTTGCTCCTCGTCGCGCGGTTGATGTGAAGACCAGCTGTTGTCTTGTGTGTGGAATCAGTCACTTTAAGGTAGTGTAAATTGATGAAATTTCTGCTGTGGGGAAATGCCTCTGTTTTCCAGCTCTCAGCTCCTTTTTTGTTTCTCTCTTTAGTGAGAAAAATCTGGACCTCCTTTCCTGATTCACTAAAGAGCATAGGAACCTCTGTACAGTCTTTCTGTGTCTTGATAACGTTTTTGTTTTTGCCTTATTTTTCACTGGGAATTCACTGCTGGGTGAGAATATTTTTACCTTTTCTGTTGAGTCTCCCTGGGAGGTGTCTGAACTCACATGTGGTGGCCACAATGAAAGAATGGGTTCAGGGCTTGGCCTTTGTATTTTGCAGTAGCAAGTTTGGAGAAAGAGTTCATATTCATCTAAAGGAATTTGTATGTTTGCTTGTTTTTGTATTTATATTTTTACTTATTTTTTAAAAATTGAGGAATAGTTGTGAAATCATCATTAGTTTGTACATTAAGGAAGACTTTCCTGTCCAGCACTTTATAATAACTTTTCCTGTTCTCTGATCCCATGTGAATCTGTTTTCCCAATAAGGATGTAGACTAATCAAGGACAAGAACTCTCTTTCTGCTTTCTGAGGTTTGCCACATTGCCCACTGGTGGTTTATAACCATTTTGGGAAACAGACTTCTTGTGCACCGCACCCCCCAAACCCAAATTCAGATACTGAGTCCCTAACTCCCAGTGTGGCTGCATTTGAAGAAGAGACTTTTAGGAGGTGATTAAGGTTAACTCCAGTGTTCTGGAAAATTCCATGGAATGAGGAGCCTGGTGGGCTACAGTGCATGGGGTCGCAAAGAGTCAGACACAAATGAGTTACCAGCACTTGAAGGTTAAATGAGATTGTAAGGGTGAGGTTCCAATTTGATAGGATTGGTGGCCTTAGAAGAAAAGGAGGAGTGCTCTCTCGCTTCATATGCACAGTGAGGAAAGGTGTGAGCACATAGCAAGAATATGGCTGTTTGTAAGGCAGGAGGAGAGGCATCCCCAGAAACCAGTCTAGTCACCTTAATCTTGAACTTTAGCTTCCAGAAGTGTTAGAAATGCATTTATGTTTAAGCCTCGCAGACTCTGATATTTTGTTATTGCAGTCTGAGCTGACTGATACAGTATGTCAGACAAGATCTATGACCTGTTGTTAACACATGCACAAAGACTGTTAGTATCACATCTTGATGAAAGTTAAGGTGGGCCATGGACCTGCTTGATGCTTGTTCATGGCCCATCTGGAATCCAGCGCTGTGCTCAGGGAAGACCTGACTAAGCACCAGTGAGTCCTGGAGGACAAGAGGGGACCCATAGCCTTAAGACAGTGGCCCAGAGGTGGGGAGGACCCCTTCTGGAGACAATTTAAGATGATTTATTCTGGTCAAGGAAAACAAAAAAGGCCCTGGAAGAGAGACTCTGGGTGCAGTCCTTGTTGTTGGTGAGTCGCTCAGTCGTATCCAGCTGTTGTGACCCCACGGACTGTAGCCTGCCAGGCTCCTCTGTCTATGGGATTTCCCAGGCAAGACCACTGGAGTGGGTTTTTTACCATTGAGCCACTACCATCACAAAGTAAACTCATCCAGGTTCCCTTGACTCCCCATGAGGAAGGAGTCTAGGGTGTTGGGCTGGGCTGTCTTGATTTAACAGTGCTACCCACTGAACTGGTTTGGGAACATGGAGCAGAGTCCTGAGTCAGCCTTCTATTTGTCATGACACAAACAGTTTAGAAACTACAAAACAGAGAGTCCTGCTCTGGGATGCATTCATTGTCCTGAAAAGCCTGGACCAGGAGTGACATGAGGAGGTGCACCCTCTGAGGGGGCAGGTGGACTGTCCTGTAGAGGCATGTGTTTGGTCAGTGTCAGCCACTTGAGTTGTGGTGATGCCTTGTTTTCATTAGTTTAAGGATCATTGCATACACATTTGAGGGTGTGTGTGTTGGTAGTTCAGTTGCTGTGTTGTGTCTGACTCCTTGTGACCCCATGGACTGCAGCATGCCAGGCTTCCCTGTCCATCACCAGCTCCCAGAGCTTGCTCAAACTCATGTCCATCGAGTTGGTGATGCCATCCAACCATCTCATCTTCTGTTGTCCCCTTCTCCTGCTGCCTTCAATCTTTTCCAGCATCAGAGTCTTTTCCAATGAGTCAGTTCTTCGCATCAGGTGGCTAAAGTAGTAGAGTTTCAGCTTCAGCATCAGTCCTTCCAATGAACAACCAGGACTGATCTCCTTTAGGATGGACTGGTTGGATCTTCTTGCTGTCCAAGGGACCCTCAAGAGTCTTCTCCAACACCAAAGCATCAGTTCTTCAGCGCTCAGCTTTCTTTATAGTCCAACTCTCACATCCATACATGACTACTGGAAAAACCATAGCTTTGACTAGACAGACCTTTGTGAACAAAGTAATGTCACTGCTTTTTAATATGCTCTCTAGGTTGGTCGTAACTTTTCTTCCAAGGAGCAAGTGTCCTTTAATTTCATGGCTGCAATCACTATCTGCAGTGATTTTGGAGTCCAAAAAAAAAAAAGTCTGTCACTGTTTCATTTCCCTATCTATTTGCCATGAAATGATGGGACTGGGTGCCATGATCTTAGTTTTCTGAATGTTGAGTTTTAAGCCAGCTTTTTCACTCTCTTCTTTCACTTTCATCAAGAGACTCTTTACTTCTTTGCTTTCTGCCGTAAGGGTAGTGTTATCTGCATATCTGAGGTTATTGATGCTTCTGGCAATCTTGATTCCAGCTTGTGCTTCATCCAGCCTGGCATTTTGCATGATGTACTTTACATATAAGTTAAATAAGCAGGGTGACAGTATACAGCATTGATGTACTCCTTTCCCAATTTGGAACCAGTCTGTTGTTCCATGTCTAGTTCTAACTGTTGCTTCTTGACCTGCATACAGATTTCTCAGGAGGGAGGTAAGACGGTCTCGTATTCCCATCTCTTTAGGAATTTTCCAGTTTGTTGTGATCCACACAGTCAAAGGCTTTGATGCCAAAGCCTTCAATAAAGAAGAAGTAGATGTTTTTCTGGAACTCTCTTGCTTTTTTGATGATCCAACAGATGTTGGAAATTTTGCTTCTGGTTCCTCTGTCTTTTCTAAATCCAGCTTGGAAGTTCACAGTTCATGTACTGTTGAAGCCTGACTTGGAGAATTTTGAACAATACTTTGCTAGCATGTGAGATGAGTGCAATTGTGGGGTAGTTTGAATATCCTTTGGCATTGTCTTTCTTTGGGATTGGAATGAAAACTGACCTTTTCCAGTGTTGGTAGTGAATAGGGTAATTAGATATTTTTCTTGTGGGTTATTGCCATGCTACTTAACGTTGTCTCCCCAACAACCAAGCTTGACTGTCTTTGCTTTCATCAGGGGTGGTAATGGGCAGTGTTTACATAAATGCAAATGAAAGTCAGTTTTGGTAAATGATTTGAGGAGGAAATGACTTTCAAAATAACCAACTTAGTTATAGTTTTAAGTAAAATTAATTTCCAGCAGCATTTATGTTATTAAGAGCTGGAGAAAAGTTATATAGAGAGAATACTTTTGTTTTAATTAGCTTTAAACCTACTAAACTTATCAGTTTTTAGAACAATGAAGATTGTTAATTTGTGGTTAGATAGCAATTTTATGGCTGAATACTATCCTTCATGCATGTAAACCACAGTTTTCTTTATCCTTTCATCCATGGGTGGACACTTACATTGTTTCCATGTCTTGGCTGTTGTAAATAACAGTGCAATGAACCTGGGGTGCAGACATCTTTCTTCAGATAAATACACAGATTTGGAATTTCCAGATCATATGATAGTCCTGTATTTTAATTTTTTGAGGAAATTCCATATTGTTTTCTATAAAATCAGCTGCACTAATTTGCATTCCCACCAACAGTGCACAAGGGTTCCCATCTCTCTACATCCTTTTCAACATTTGTTATTTTTCTTTTTGATAATAACCATTCTAATGATATGAGGTAATATCTTATACTCGGTTTGATTTACATTTCACTGGTGATTAATGATGTGGAGCATCTTTTGATGCTGGCCATCTATATGTCTTGGGGAAAATGTCTATTTAGATCTGCCCATTAAAAAAAATCACACTGTATTGATCATTTGTTTATTTTTGCTTTTGGTGTCAGATTAAAAAAAATCATCATCAAGACCAATATCAAGTAGCTTACTGCCTATGTTTTTGTCTGGAAATTTTATGGTTTCAGATCTTACATTCAAGTCTTTAATATGTTTTGAGTTAATTCTTATGTATAGTATAAGACAGTGGTTAGCTTTCATTCCAAGCATAGCAACAAAGACCCAGCATAGCCAAAAATAAAAAAGTAAAGATTTTATATACATATAAACAGCTATGGATTTGGGAGTAATTTGTCTTAAATTTTGAGGTGGGCATGGTAACCCACTCCAGTATTCTTGTCTGGAGAACTCCATGGACAGGGAAGCATGGCTGGCTACAGTCCATGGGGTCACAGAGAGTCGGATACAACTGAGTGCCTAACACTTTCACTTTTTATCATAGATTAATTGACACTATATATGTGGGTTTATTTCTGGGCTTACTATTCTGTTTTGTTGATCTATGTGTTTTTATGCCAGTACCATACTGTTTTAATTACTATAGCTTTGAAATACATTTTGTAATCCGAAAACATATCTCCAGTTTTGTTGTTTTTCAGGACTACTTTGGCTATTTGGGGGTCTTTTGTGGTTCTATACAAATTTTATGATTATTTGAACTTTTTCTATGGATAATGTCAATGGAATTTTGACATTGGTTACATTGAGCCTGTTGATTGTGTGGTATGGACAATTTAACAATATTGATTCCTTCAGTCTATGAACGTGGAATGGCTTTCCATTTATTTGTGTCATCTTCAATTTCCTTTATTAATGTCTTATAGTTTTAAATATACAAGCCTTCATTTCCTTGGTTAAATTTATTCCTAGGCATTTTATTCTTTTTTATGTAGTTGTGAATGGGACTGTTTTCTTAATTTCTCTTTCTGATGGCTTGTTATTAGTGTGTAGAAATGCAGCAGAATTTTGTATGTTGATATCCTGCAACTTTAATGAATTCCTTTATTCTACAGTTTTTTGATTGAGTCTTTAGGGTTTTCTATATATGTATAATGCTGTCTGTAAGTAGCATCAGCTTTACTTCTTCCTTTCCTCTTTGGATATATTTTTTCTTGTCTATTTGATCTGCCTGGGACTTGCAATACTATGTTAAATAAAAGGAAAAGAGTGAGCATTCTTGTCTTGTTCCTGATCTTAGAAAAATAGCTCTCCGCTTTTCACCACTGATTATGATGTTTGCTGAGAGCTTGTCACATATGGCCTTTATTATATGAAGGTATGTTCCATCTGTACCTGGTTTATTGAGATTTTTTATCATAAATGTATATTGTGTTTTGTCCAGTGCTTTTGTGCATCTGTTGATGATTATATGATTTTTATCCTTCATTTTGTTAATGAGATTATCACATTGATTGATTTGTGGATGTTGAACCAAGTTTGCATCCCTGGAATAAATCCCACTTAACCATGGTGTATGATCCTTTTAATATATTGTTGAATTCTATTTGCTAATATTTTGTTGAGGATTTTTTATTCTAGGTACATCAGGGATATTAGGCTGTAATTTTCTTTTTTTGTGTGCGGTGTCCTTGTCTGGTTTTGGTATCAGGGTAATACTAGCTTCATAAAATGAGTTCTTTGAATATTTGTAGAATTCAACAGCAAAGCCATCAGGTCTGGGACTTTTGTTTGTTGGATTTTTTAAATTACTGCTATTAGAAAGGATATTTAGTGTTCTTACTGGTAATCAGCCTGCTCAGATTTTCTGTTTCACCATGATTCAGTCCTTCTAGGTTGTATGTTTTTAAGAATTCATCAATCTCTTCTAGGCCGTCCACTTTGTTGGTGTATAATTGTTCATAGTAGTTCCTTACTCTTTCTTTTCTGTGGCAACAGTTGTAATAACTCTTCTTTTATTTCTGATTTTATTCATTTGAGTCCTATGTGTGTCTCTCTTTTTTGTTGCCAAGTTTGTTTATCTTTTTAAAGAACCAACTGTTAGTTTCACTGATTATTCTCTGTTGTCTTTTTAGTCTCTATTTCATTTCTTTTTGTTCTAATTTTTGTTATTTCCTTCCTTCTAATAGTTTTGGGCTTTGTTATTTTTCTAGTTCCTTGAAGTGTAAAATTAGGTTGATTTTTCTTATTTCTTGAGGTAGAGATTTATCACTTGCACTTTCCCCTTAGAATTGTTTTTGTGCATCACACATATTTTGGTATGTTTTATTTCCATTTCATTTGTTTCAAGGTATTTTGAAATTTCTCTTTTGATTTCTTCTTTGGCCTACTGGTTGCTCAGTAGTATGTTGTTTAATCTCCATATATTTGCGAATTTTCTAGTTTTCTTGTAATTCTAGTTTTATACCATTGTAATTGGAAAAGACGCTTGATATGATTTTAATCTTCTTAAATATATTGAGACTTGTTTTGTGGCCTAATATGTGTATGTCTTGGAAAATGTTCCCTGTGCATTTGAGAAGAATGTGTTCTGTTGCTTTTGCATGGAACGTTCTGTATATATTTGTGAAGTTTGTCTACTCTAATGTTTGTTTTAGTCTGGTGTCTCTTTAATGATTTTCAACCCAACAGTCACAGTTGGCTGAGAAGTTAATGAAACTCTTCTTATTCTGGCCTAAGCCTGAATGGTTTCCTCAAGGATTCCCTGGAAGCAAACTTGAATTTCCAGATGGACTAACTTAGTGACTGGAGTTGAAGGGGTCAGAGAGAGCATGGTCCGAAGATCGTTGGATTGAAATAAGAAAGAGTAGAGGAAAATGATGGGAGCAGTTCCAAGTGAGACCCTGGTCATGCATTCTTCTGTAGCTTTAGATTCTGCCCTAAGATACAGAGGCTCATTCTCCTTTTGAATGGCTTCTGTTGGCTCAGAGATGGCCAAATTCTTGTCCTATCTTCAGTGGATTCTTCACTTGCAGAAATAAGAGCTCATACAAATCAATGCTCCTATAAAAGTGAAACTCTCATTTATTTTCTCTTAAAGGAAGTCTATAAAGAACAGACAACTCGGTTTCCTTGGGTCAAGGAATCCTCTGAAAAAATAATGTATTTATGATATCTGACTCTTTTCATGTTTTCAGATCATATGAAAGGATTAAGAGCCCCTAGCTTGAAAAGAAGGCTGGAATGCAGGTAATTTTTTCTTGCTATTTATTTGTGTGTGCTTTTTTAAGTAAAAATTTTAATTGAGCTGTAACATCTACATAGAAAAGTACTCACATCATAAGGAAACAGTCTGATGAACTTTCTCTAGTAAACACATGTGTAGCTTCTGCCCAGCCTGAGAAATAGAACAGCAATAACCTGGTACAGAACTCTGTCCCTCCCCACTCAGTCTTTCCCACTCACAGATAACCTCTCTTCTGACTTCTGTCATCATTGTTTAGCTTTTGGTTGTAAAATCAATTCTATTTTATAGATGAGGAAACTGAGGAACCAGAAGGGTTAAATTAGTTGCCCAAGGTCACACAGCTAGTAAAGTGGCAGGACTAGGATTCCCACCAGGTCTGTATGATTTTAGAGCCTATATATTAGTTATCTATTGCTGTGTAACAAACTACCTACAAGCTCAGTGGCTTAAAATAACCCTAATCATGTATTCGCCCTCTCTTTTGTTTCTGTGCGTCAGGATCTCTGACAGGGCATAGTGGGGTTGGCTGGTTTCTGCCTGACTGGGTATTATATGGGGCTGATGTTACGTCATGGAGGCTTATTCATTCAATGTCTGACACCTGGGTTAGGCAGACTCAAACAGTTGGGGCCCTTTGGGTATCTCCACCTCTAAAAATATCTCTTCAGCATAGTGGTTTCAGGATAGCTGGAGTTTTTAAAGGAAAAAAAAGTATACCTTCCAAATGAGAGCTGTATTAGTTGCTCAGTTGTGTCCAACTCTATTTTGTGACCCCATGGACATAGCCCACCACATTCCTCTATCCTTGGGACTCTCCAGTCAAGAATACTTCAGTGGGTTGCCAAGTCCTTCTCCAAGGTGTCAATCCACCCAGGGATTGAACCCAGGTCTCCTGCATTCAGGCGAATTCTTGACCTTCTGGCCACCAGAGACCTATAAAAGAGAGCTAGCGGCAGCCATATTGTCCAGAGATCTAGACTTGGAAGCCCTACAGTATTACTTCCATCACATTCTGTTGGATAAGGCAGTGACAAAGGTCTGTTCAAGTTCAAGGGGAGGTCAGCACATAACCCTCCTGTCAGTGGAAATTCCATGACCATTTTGTTAAAGAAGACTATGTATGGTTGGGGGGATATATATTAACATGGCCATCTTTGGAAAGTATAATCTGTCATAGACTATATTCCTAACCTCTAAACTGGAGTGTCTGGACTCTTTGTGATCCCATGGACTAATATAGTCCGTGGAATTCTCCAGGTCAAAATACTAGAGTGGGTAGCCTTTCCCTTCTCCAGCGGATCTTCCCAACCCAGGAATTGAACAGGGTCTCCTGCATTGCAGGCTGATTTCTTATGGCAGAAAGTGAAGAAGAACTAAAGAGCCTCTTGATGAAAGTGCAAGAGGAGAGTGAAAAAGTTGGCTTAAAACTCAACATTCAGAAAACTAAGATCATGGCATCTGGTCCCATCACTTCATGGGAAGTAGATGGGGAAACAATGGAAACAGTGACAGACTTTTTTTTTTTTTTGGACTCCAAAATCACTGCAGATAGTGACTGCAGCCATGAAATTAAAAGACGCTTGCTCCTTGGCAGAGAAGTTACAACCAACCTAGAGAGCATATTAAAAAGCAGAGACATTACTTTGCCAACAAAGGTCCGTCTAGTCACAGCTGTGGTTTTTCCAGTAGTCATGTATGATTGTAAGAGTTGGACTATAAAGAAAGCTGAGTGCTGAAGAATTGATGCTTTTGAACAGTGGTCTTGGAGATGACCCTTGAGGGTCCCTTGGACAGCAAGGAGAGCCAACCAGTTCATCCTAAAGGAAATCAGTCCTGAATATTCATTGGAGGGACTGATGTTGAAGCTGAAACTCCAATACTTTGGCCACCTGATGCAAAGAAAGACCCTGATACTGGGAAAGGTTGAAGGCGGGAGGAGAAGAGGATGACAGAGAATGAGATGGTTGGATGGCATGACCGATTCAATGGACATTGGTTTGAGTAAACTCTGGGAGTTGGTGATGGACAGGGAGGCTTGGTGTGCTGCAGTCCATGGGGTCGCAAAGAGTCGGACACGACTGAGTGACTGAACTGAACTGAACTGAAACTGGAGTGTTGAAGTTCTAAAGTTTGTCATGAAGTTGATTTCTGCCCACTAAAAACATGAACGGAATAGATTTATATGAAGTACAAGGCAGATGTCTTCTGTCCCCTTGCCCCTTCTGCAGAGGTAGTTTACCCAGGTATCTCTCCAGACACAGCTGATCCTGTAAAATGCATGTCTTTAGGATGAGAATGGCGAGGACCAGCCTTTGAGGAGGTCAGCGGGCCCTGTCCAGTCTGTCCTCTGCTTCTTCCCTGTCCCTTTCCACCATCATGGGACTGAAGTGGTCACTGGACTGTTGGCCTGCTAAGAGCTATTCTAATATGTTTGTGCCAGCACAGTTTCTGACTTACTCGAGACAAGTGACAACACCTTGATACATATCTCCTAGTCATTCAGATGGCGGCTCATTTTGAATTGCACTCAAATGACTTTTTTCTTTTGTCTCTTCTCCCCAGCTTGAAGGTTTGCTTATACTGTTCACCTGTTACTAAAGAGTTGTTGTTAACAAGCCCGAAGTACAGGTTTTGGGAGAAACGAATTGTAAGTTTTATTTTTTGAATGACACTAATCCTTTTTTTCAAGTGGGAAGTATTTTTCAAGATGTGTTGAACCAAATATTGTTGTTATCCAAAGCCCACTTCCTCACACAATGTATTTATCCACAGTAAAAAACACCGTGTTGATATTTAGCCTTTGCAGTTCATTAGTTTAGAAGAAGTTGACATTTTATTGTTGTTGATTTTTCTTTCTTGTCCCCCAACATGTTGACCTAGATGCTTAGTTTTGTCTAATCTCACAGGCTGTCTTGCTGAGTTGCATTTTAATACTTTAAAGTATAAACTGTTTATTGACAGAATTAATAAACCTTTTATTTAGATCATGGAATAGATTAGGAAAAATAACATAGCTTATGGTTTATAAGAAAAGTAAACATAACATGATTTATAATAAAGAACCAAAATAAAAGTAGAAGGGATCATTTTGAATCTGGCCATATAAAATGGATCTCTCCAATAGAAAGTTATAGTAAAGAGGAGGAAAACAAAGCATGGTACAAAAATGTGAAGATGGCAGGCAAGGTTATGTCATAACAGTCACTGCTCTAAATATAAATGGATTTATTTCAACTTTTGATCAGAAGACAATTTCTTGATTTAGGTTTAAAAAACAATAGATCCCCAAGTTTTGGTCTACAAGACACAGATAACACTAAAGGAAAAATGCAGGTTGAAGTGGGGGAAAAACAAAGGGAAAAGATACACTGAAAAATTAGAAACTAAAAATGCCAGAGTAGCAACTATTATATCATGCAGAGAGTTGAAAGCAAAAAATATCATTAATTTCAAAGAGTGTGTTTTTTACTATTCAAAGGGACAACCTCTTAAAAGTATCACGAAGATGCCACTTTGTGGTTGGGGAACTAAGATCCTGCAAGCTGCAAAGTGCAGCCAAAAACAGAGAAAAGATATAAACATATATGCAACTTAACAGACCAGATATAGTAGTCCCTGATCACTCAGTGACTGATAAGAGAAACAACCGCAATGAGTAGATAGAATTAGGTGTCCTTATATGGATTAAACCATCAATAACTGGGGGAGCTATCAGAGAGTCCTGAACAAGAGTCTGTTTGATGTCCTGACTGCTGGCAACTTTCAGCTCCCATGTCCGCCTTTCTCTTCTGCTCCACATGTGGGCAAACTGATTTTTAAAAAAGTCTACACCTTCCTTGGCACCTAGACGACATTCCAATATGCAAGCCCAGGCCCACCACCACAGTAAAAACCAGGACCACTCACTCCCATCTTCTCAGGCCACACAAGCCACTTTGTCCCCGCCTGGGTTCCACCCTACCTACCATAGAAAATAAACTACCACGGAAAATAAAAAGGAAGATGAATAAAAGTGAAAGCTGGTCTGTAGAGAAACAAAGATAAACTTCTGCCAAGACTGAAAAAACAAAGATGCATATAAAAATAACAAATGATATAAAGGAAAATAACTTAATGAATAGCAGTGCCTTGTTTTGAAAATTAATATAGTATATTTGATAATTTAGATAGAGTGGGTAAATACCTGGAAAAGTAGGAAAATCCCAAATTGAGGCAAGAAAAGTAGACAACTTGAATAAAGAAGGAGCCGTCAGAGACATTAAAACAGTTTTCAAAGATCTCTTCTTCAAAAACATCCCCAGGCCCAGATGGTTTTATCTTGCCTTTTGCCAAATATTCAAAGAACAAATAATCCCTATTGTAGGAGAGAATAAAAAGATAAGCTGCTCAACTTCACTGTCAAATGGATAATGATAATACATGGGGGAAAAAGGCCATTTCTATATGAGCACATGTGAACATCCTAATACTGAATCTAACAGTATTAAAAAAATAGTACATCATGAGTTATTTTCACACCTGAACTTCACTGTAGGTATTATGACATCAGTGGACTAAGAAGATGAAAAATTATCCTCATTGATCAACTGCTTACTGAATGCCACTCTGTGCTGGCTGCCATTCTATAAAGTGTGTGGATAGCTTCTTGAATCTGTGAATTAGGCCAACACGTCACAGACTGATGGCAGACTGTGCTCTGCAGCAGAAAATCTGAATAGAAAGAACATGTGACTACATGTTGTACAAAGACTCAGTTGAATGGGAATGGGAGGGCTGGGGAGGTGAAGGGGGGAAATTGAATCCATAGTAGAAATGCTGTGTGTGAGCATGTACATGTTTATAAGGCATCCAATATATGCATATTGACACATCAACCTCAAGAAAGGTGTAATTATAACTTTATCATGTTTTCAAGCTGTAAAACTGTTTTTATAATGAAATCAGAAATTGTTCCACTGAGAGTCTGTAATATCTCTTAGTTCCCTTTCTGTGTTTAGATGGCAAAGGCATATAAAGTCATGAAAGACTGTGTACAATATGATATATACCTGATGTCTTATTTTAATAGGTATCAATTGAAATTGAAACTCCTACCCAGATATCTTTAGTCGATGAAGCATCAGGCGAGGTAACTAAATATTAAATATTATATTTCTAAAAGTTGTTATTTAGCATTAAATGATTATCTTTCTCCTTGACTTTGAATGCTCATTTAGCCAGAAATAAAATTTATGGTAGACGAATGAGTTTGTAAGGAAAAAAAGAGTTTGTGATGTATTTATTTTCTACATCTAAGGGACTGAACATTGCTTCTACTCAATTCTAAGGACAGAATTGCTTCTATTAGTGTCACATGCTAGTTATAGGAGTGCCATAGTAATGGTATGATTACTATGTAGTATGACTGTCCCATGTATTAAGTTTATTTATTATAATGTTAGGTATATAAAACAGTGTTTAATGTTTTTGCAGCAGATTTATGTATATGGTGACTTTTTTTCTGAATCATTTTCTTATTCAAGAAAAAGACATTGTTCAAGTGGATCTAGTTTATTTTTTTGTCCTTAAATTCAGACGCAGGTACTTTTGTGTTGTGCAATTTTTTTCTTTAATAGTAACTAGGATTGTGGGCCCACCATTTATGTTTGTATTTATTTTTATCTCAAATTATACATCAGGCTGGGAGGTGTTTTCCTGTCTTACAGAAAATCCAGTTAACATTTGTTACGTAGCCCAATTAGAACCTGCTTTGTTGCCACGTTTAAATCTGAAGAGTGTCCTTGGTGGTGTGGCTGTCATGGGACAGGGATGGACTTTTCACATGTCCTCCCCGGAGGAGATCAGACATTGAAGTACTTTTACAGTAACTGTTCCGAGGGAGGGGGAAGGGATAGCATGAAACCTTCCTAAATGCCATCCTGAGCTCCATTAGCTGGCACTTCGGGGAGATGCTCTCAGTCCCTGGTGGCCTGTGTCAGTGAATGGCTTTCTCAGAATTGGGCAGCAGGCAGCAGGTGGCCCTCAGTGATCAGAGTCCTGCCATCCCACTCTGGTCCTTTCTGTTTCTTCTCACTCATTGAGGCTTGTGTGTTTGCCTCCAGCTCCAGCCAGTGGGAGAGCCTGTTTTAAAGGGGCCTGAGGAGTGAACGATGTCAAACATAACTGGAGGGGTTACCATGATGGAGCATAGCCGATTAACAATGTTGTGATGGTTTCAGGTGAACCACGAAGGGACTCAGCCATACATACACGTGTATCTATTCTCCCCCAAACTCCCCTCCCATCCAGGCTGCCACATAACATTGATCAGAGTTCCCTGTGCTATACAGTAGGTCCTTGTTGGTTATCCATTTTAAATACAGCAGTGTGTCCATGTCCATCCCAAACTCCCTAACTATCTCTTCCCTTCCCCCCATTCTTCCCCACTGGTAACCATAAGTTCATTCTTTAAGTCTCTGAGTCTGCTTCTGTTTTGTAAATAAGTTCATTTTTATCATTTCTTTTTAGATCATGCATGCAGGGGATGTTATATTTCTTCTTCTCTGCCTGACTTCCCTCACTCAGTATGATGATCTCTAGGCCCATCACTTCATTTCTTTCTTCCCAAGAGTGGAATTGCTGTGTTGTATTGGAACTCTACTTTTAACCATTTGTTTTATGAATGAGGACTCCACTTGTTTCCAGAATTTGGAGAGTGGGGAAAGGAGAAAGATATAGCACGTTCTTGAGAAGTACTTGTGTACGTTCTACTCAGGAGGGCTTTGTTTAGCTGGGTCCTAATGATAACTTCTATTATTGTTATTTTTTCTTTCTTTTTAGAAGGAAGAGATTGTTGTGACTCTTTTACCTGCTGGTCATTGCCCAGGATCAGTTATGTAAGGGGTTCATCTATTTTGCCCATTTATTTTGTGTTGATATGTATTACATTTGTAGAAATAAACTTGTTGGGTCTAAAAAATAACATGTACCAGGAGATTTGCTTCTTATGCTGGCAGTTCCTTTAACCTTCATTTCCAGTGTTAAACTAGGAGGGACTGGGGCACAGGTCAAGTTCGAAACGTGGCTTTCTTTCAGTGGAAGACTTCAGTAGCAATCTTTCCATGGGCTTTGCATTTTCTCATCATGTGGATCTTTCTCTCCTTGAGCAGGGATGATCTCTGTATACAGTCGAAGATGGTAATGCATTTTAGTGGACATCTCTTGCAAACTCAGCGATATCTCCACCATGTATTTTTTCCCTCTTTGGGAAGACGTGGCAGCTGAGGGTTCAGTGTGGTTTAACACTTTGGGAGTTACATCAGCACTGTACCACAGTGGCTGTGGTTGGCAGGCAACATGGGCTATGGACTTAGTATATATTTGTGTTTAGTATATACATAAGTAAGCCCATAAGTATAGCGGGCTTCCCTGGTAGCTTAGCTGGTAAAGAATTCACCTGCAATGCAGGAGACCCTGGTTTGATTCCTGGGTCGGGAAGATCCCCTGGAGAAGGGACAGGCTACCCAGTCCAGTATTCTTGGGCTTCCCTGGTGGCTCAGATGGTAAAGAATCTGCCTGCAGTGTGAGGACCTGAGTTCGATCCCTGGGTTGGGAAGATCCCCTGGAGGAGGGCATGGCAACCCACTCCAGGATTCTTGCCTGGAGAATCCCCATGGGCAGAGGAGCCTGGAGGGCTACAGTCTATGGGGTCGCAAAGAGTCAGACATAACTGAGTGACTAAGCACAGCACATACATTTAGTATATGGATTTAGAATAAATTTATTAGAATTTTGTATGAGACTTAGAAGCCACTGAGATCTATTTTCTTTCCAGGTTTTTATTTCAGGGCAACAATGGAACTGTCTTGTACACAGGAGACTTCAGATTGGGTAAAGGAGAAGCTGCCAGAATGGAGCTTCTGCACTCTGGGGGCAGGTACTGGGCTTTGTGGAGTTCTGGAACCTTAAGACTGCATTGTTTTAAAGGTTTTATTGTGCGTTTCTCCCCACTAAGTATCAGCCTTTGTTTCTCTTAGAAATCTAACTGGACTATAATAATATTTGTAACAGGAAGGCACATTTTTCCTCCTGAAATGAGGGGATGGTAACATTCCATGTGTTGATCAGGGTGGTAATTACATGAACTGGTCAAAATTCACTGAACCATATATGCACGAGCTGTATTATTTCATCATATGGAAATCATTTCCCAACCAATGTTGATATAAGAAAGAATCCAAATGACAGAACAAACTGTAAAATAACTGAAAGTGTAGGCTTTGTATTTTATTTCCCATGAAATGAGTCACATCCCTTGTTTCAATTTTGTTTTCAGAGTGAAAGACATCCAGAGCGTGTACTTAGACACAACTTTCTGCGACCCAAAATACTATCAAATTCCTAGTCGGGTACGTCTCCTTGGAACACGGCTGCATTTCTTAAGAGGGCGGTTTGGGGAGGAACAGATGGGATGTTAACTGTCCTGTTGCCGTGGGTATCTGGGAAGCCGGGCGTGGAGCAGTGTTAACTGCCTTTGAACCTTCGTGCCCAGGAGGAGTGTCTGCGTGGAATCCTGGAGCTGGTCCGAAGCTGGATCTCACGGAGCCCCTACCATGTGGTGTGGCTGAACTGCAAGGCTGCCTATGGTTACGAGTATCTCTTCACCAACCTCAGTGAGGAGTTTGGACTCCAGGTACCTGATGACTCTTTTTTTCTGTTGCTCTGAGCTTCCATCCTCCCATCTCCTCCTCTGCTCCCCTTCTTCATGCCCGCTCCCAGCATCCCCCAGACTGAAAACCGTAACAGATGGACGCAGTCTTTACTTACTTACTTTATTTTTGGTTGTGCTGGGTCTTCGTTGCTGTGTGGGGTCTTCTCTAGTTGTGGCAAGCTGGGGCTACTCTTCATTGCAGTGCATGGGCTTCTCATTGCAGTGGTTCCTCTTGTTGTGGAGCGCAGGCTCTAGGGCACACATCCTTCAGTAGTTGTGGCACATGCGCTCAATAGTTGTGGTGCAGGCTTAATTGCTCCGTGGCATGTGGAATCTTCTGGGATCAAGGATCAAACATGTGTCTCCTGCATTGGCATGTGGATTCTTTACCACTGAGCCACCAGGGGAGCCTTGAACATGACCTTTATCATCTTTATTTGCTTCCTTTTGGGAGAATTGACAGTGGGAAGAGCCCTTTGGTGAGAAGTCCCCTAAAGAATGTATTTTTTTTTCAAAATCACGGGTCATGAAATTTAGTGTTTGTGACCAGCAATGAGAATACATTTGAACTAGGAAATATCTGGGGGGGTTGCTTACAGTTAAAAGTAATCACTGTCATGTGAAAATTTACATCAGGAATCAGACACGTGCCTATTTAGACCTTCCTTGAGTTAACCACAGGGCTTTGTCCTACTAAGTCCATTGCTTATCATTAAGTCAAAAATTCCTTTAATAGCCGAGACCCACTGAACATCATAGCTTAGCCTCATCTATCTGAAATATGCTCCAAACACAGATTAGCCTACAGTTGGACAAAACCATCTAACACAAAGGCTATCTTACAATGAAGTGCTGGGAGTCTCAGGTAACTTATTGAATGCTGTAAGTGAAAACCAGAATGGTTGTGTGTTCTGGATGCACACAACCATTCTGGTTTTCACTAACAGCATTCAATAAGTGTGTGAGCTGTTCACCCTCGTGATCGCGTGCCTGATCAGGGGCTGCCCACTATCCCAAGAAAGGAATGTGCATTGCCAGCTTGGGAAAAGATCACAATTCAAAAACGTATTTCTTACTGGAGATCATGGTCAAAAGTGTATGGAGAATACTGTCCTGGGGCACTAAGCCCCTTCCCCTTGAAGGAAACACGTCAGGTCAGGCTAGGAGTCAGTGTTCACCTGTCCCTTCCATGGGAGCTGAGTGCCGGGCTCTTGGGAACCCTGGCAGCAAAGTGAGCAGGGTGACTGCTTCTGGTAGTGCCTATGACCCCTGAGAGAAGATGGATTTTTGGTGGTGGCTTTGAACAAAACAAATGCTGGAACGAGTTGAACATTTAAATATTACTTCATTTGGCATCTTTTATTATCGATCCTCTGGTTAACAGACTTCTGCCATGAACTTAACACTTATATACAGCATAATTTAGCAAAACTAAAAAGATTTAGTGCTTTTACATTTGAAATTTAAACAATTTCTGCCCCCACCCCCACCCCCCCGGCTCTCCATAAGCCTTACTTCCTAAGTCCTTTCCTTAATTTCTTCCTTAAGTTTTCCTGTCCAAATGTTTTTGGCATAAAGCTCCCAATTCTCCATTTTGGGACAGATCTGCTTTCATTCTGAGATTGTGGTTCCTATGTGGCTTTGATGTTAAAATGGCCTTTTAAATAAAAATCACAGTAATTATATATTGTGTATGTGTGTGCCCACTTACATACATTTTACAGTCTGCTTTTTTTTCCCCTCATGTCCTTCCTTGGCAAAATATAAAGCTAGCCACCACCTGTCAATCCTGAATTTGTTTTGTGAATTTCAGTGGTATGTGAAATCTACAAGACTGGAAGCTCCAGCTCAGAGGCCTGGCAAGGAGAAACCCTGGGCCTGGGAGGTGCCCAGGGATGGTGGAGAGGAGGCAGGTCCTAGGGAGGTGACCCTGGAGTGAGCCCTCTTGCAAGTCTCTTAATCCCTCTGTAGGGAACAGAAACAACTTTAGAGAAGGAATTTAACAAGGGAGTATAGGGGCTTCTCTGGTGGTCCAGTGGTTAAGACTCTGCACTCCCAGTGCAGGGGGCACAGGTTCCATCCCTGGTCGAGGAACTAAGATCGTACATGCCTGGTGGGAAAAGAGTACACAGAAATGGGGAGAAGAGTGAGGTTTTTTGACAGAAGGATCTGAGATGAGATCTGAGGGATGATTTATAGCAACCTTTTCAAGCACCTTCACTTTCGCGAGGATGAAAGTTTCCCTATGTCTCTCTGTACATCTCAGAATTTACCTCTTTTTTTATCTCCTTAGGCCAGAAAAATCCATTCGTTTTTTCTTCTTGTTAGTCATTAGGAAAACAGGCAGTGAGAGGAATAAAGCTAAGTCACAGTCAGGCTTGCATTCTTTCTACACCTGTCTGGGTATTTAATTTCCACACTGATTTAACATTAGTCTAATCTGTTTTGTTATTCAGACTTCAAAATTAGAATGCTTTGGGGAAGGTGCCATTTCATTATCCTTCTATCAATTTAGGTACTTGTTTACTCTAAAATACCCAGAAGAGACGATTTAAGTAAAACCGACATGTTGGTTTTAACAATTTAAAATGTATTAGCTTTAAAATTCTGAAGGTGGCTGAGCTTTGTTCTGTTTTGCTTTGTTGCATCTGCCAGAGTCCTCCTTTCACCTAATAAAGAAGAGTGTGGAAAGGGAGGATCTGGGTCTCTGCTTCCTCTTCCTGCTGGCCTCCCCTCCTGCCAGCTGCCAGTATACAGCATGTTGTGTGTGTTTTCGTGAGCAAGTGAGTCCTTTTATAAACATTTTATTTATTTGTTTATTCACTTATTGGTCATGCCTCACTGCTTGCAGACTCTTATTTCCCTGACCAGTAATCGAACCTGGGCCCTGGCAGTGAAAGCACCAAGTCCTACCCACTAAACCTGCTAGGGAATTCCACGAGCAAGTGACTCTTTTTTTAAATTATTATCAGATTATTTACTTAGTTAATTTTTGGTTTAACTGGTTCTTCATTGCTGCACTCAGGATTTCTCTTTTGCAGTAAGTAGGGTTACCCTTCTTTGCAGTGTGCGGGCTTCTTATTGCGGTGCCTTCTCTTGTTGCAGAGCACAGGTTTTAGGTGGGCTTCAGTAGCTGTGGCACACAGACTTAGCTGGTCTGCTGGATGTGAGATCTTCGTGGATCAGGGATCAAACCCCTTTCCCCTGCACTGGCAGACAGATTCTTATCCACTGTACCACCAGGGAAGTCCAGCAAGTGATCTTCATTGTTTTTGTCTGCTATGTACACTGCAATAAACCCACTATTTAGAATAAAGCATGATGTAGAACAGATACACAAGAAATATGAATTGAATGACTTGATGGACAGATCCAATGAAATCCACCAGCCAAGTCACCACACTTTTCACTGCCTCCCACAATGGGCAGTAACGCTGATTGCAGGGCATGGGATCTCGATGTCCTGGCAGGTACTAACAGGCATTGAAAGTTGAAAACTAGGCTTTGAGGAAGAAGAAAGAGTTATTTTCTAACTGGATGATTTACCCCTGCCCAATTTACTCTTGAATACTTTATTTACAGGAAATACAATTCCAATAACATGCTTATTTGTGTTGTTTTCCTCAGGTTCATGTGGATAAACTAGACATGTTTCGAAACATGCCTGACATTCTCCATCATCTGACAACAGACCGTGACACCCAGATCCATGCGTGTCGACATCCAAAGGTACGCAGCGAACTCTTTTTCTTACTATCAGTATGATTCACAGAAACCAAAATTTTAGGTTTAGAAGGAACCCCAGAAATCCCATTTTCTAGGCTCTTCAATTTCCCAATGTGAAAAGTGAGGCTGAGATCCCAGTGTTAGATCAGGGTCATGCAGCGGTACATCACTATATTCTATTATCATAAACCTAATTAGTAAACAGACAGATACTTGTAATTTCTAATGAAATATATTTATACAATTGATATATGTTTATTTGTAATGAATTATGTAACGAACGATTTATTTGTAAGGAAAGTAGTAACATTAGAGCTTATAATTTAAAATTTAACAACATAATCACCATCCATTGTGGTTTACTTTTGAAACTCATGACACATGCACATTTATAAACTTTATTTTTTTCTCATTTGAGGTAAATATCTAAATATAAGTTTGCTTTGAATTAAAAAAAAAATTTTTTTGGCCACACCACACAGTATGTAGGATCTTAGTTCCCCGACCTGGGATCAAACCCATGCCCCCTGAATTGGAAGTGTGGTGTCTTAATCACTGGAGCATCAGGGAATTCCCTTAAATTTTGAAGTAGTTTCATGTATTGGTGATCCAGTTTCAAATGAATATTTTTAGTTTCTTTGAAACTCACTGGTTTTCTGATGGCACCATAGAACTTCCTTCTCTTATTAACTGCCAGGGATTCAATTTTGAATTGGGCTTTAACATTTCCATTTTAATTTATATTGTCATTCGGTGTAACTTAACTACTAATTAGTGACTGTCAAATGCAGGGGTTCATGTGATCATAATTTTTCTCTAAGTTTTTAATCTTGGCATTCAAATGCTGAGTAATTTTTAGTAAATAGTACATTTATGCATTTGGATAATCACTGTAGTAGTAATACTATGTAACTCCATCAGCCAAAATCCTAAAGTTTCTTTGCCCTAAAGTAAAGCAAAATTTAAAAAAAAGATTCTTATTCATACCATGGAGTATTCTATTTCAAACTACCACAGGAGAAATACAAGCTAAGAAACTCTTTTGGTGATTGTTCAGCTGCATATTATAACTTGCATCATGAATTTACTTCATCATTTTGTTTGTGTATGTATACACACAGACACACACCACTGCAGTTATTTAATGGATGGATAAAAATAATGTCGATACAAAGTAGAAACTGTTTTGTCCTTTTTCTGTGGAACTTGTAGTCTTTCCCCCAACAACACCCCATAAATGTCTTAATTGGCAGATTTCTTTTTGCTTGGTGTAGAAAATGGCAACCCACTCCAGTATTCTTGTCTGGAAAATGTCACGGTTGGAGGAGCCTGGTGAGCTACAGACCATGGGACTGTAAAGAGTCAGACATGACTGAGCAACTGAGTGCTACACTTTGTATAGTTGATGTACAATATTATATGTTACAGGTGTACAATATTGTGATTCACAGGTTTTAAAGGTTGTACTCCATTTATAGCTATTATAAAATATTGGCTCTATTTCCCCATGCTGTACAATACGTCCTTGTAGCTCATTTTATATCTAGTAGTTTATACCTCTTAACCCTCTACTCCTGTCCACCCCTCCCCCTTCCCTCTCCCTACTGTTAACACTAGTTTGTTCTTTGTATCTGTGAGCTGCTTCTTTTTTGTTATATTCATTAGTTTGCTGTATTTTTTAGATTCTACAAATAAGTGATATCATATAGTATTTGTCTTTCTGTCTGACTTATTTCACTTAACATAATACCCTAAAAGTCCATGCACATTGTTGCAAATGACAAAATTTCATTCTTTTCTTATGGCACATTATCAGCTTTAGTTGAGCTAATAATGCTCTTGTTTTATATTATTTTTTTCTTTTCTAACTTTTTATTTTGTATTGGGGTATAACCAATTAACAGTGTTGTGATAGTTTCAGGTGAACTGTGAAGGGACTCAGCCATATACATGTATCCATTCTTCCCCTAACTTCCCTCTCATAACTCATAGCATATATATGTACCACATCTTGTTGCTTCCACATGTTGGCAATTATAAGTAATGCTGCTGTGAACATTGGGGTGCATATATCTTTTCAAATTAGTCTTCTTGGTTTTTTTTTTTCCGGATGTATACCCTGGAGTGGAATCACTGGGTCATATGAACACCTCGTCCTCTTCACCTGGATTCCACTGTGTGTTACCACCACCATGTCTTTTTCCTGGCAGCCTCATCTCTCTCTTATGTGTGTGTGTAACCAGCACGCCACCCCCCGCAACCCATCTGAGTCATGACATTTCACCCTAAACAAGGACATTCTCTTATATGACCACAGTACAATTCTCATACTCAGGAAATTCAGCGTCTATAGAACACTGTTGGATGCGATGTCCTCCATATTCAAATATCCAGTTGTCCCAATCGTGTCCTTTATGGCTTGTGGAGGGAGAAGCAAGGCTGTCCAGGATTTAAAAATATGTATATTTATTTATTTGGGTGCGCCAGATCTTAGCATAGTGTATGACCTCTTAGTTACGGCATGTAGGAGACAGTTCCCTGACCATGTATGGAACCTGGGCCCCCTGCATCGGGAGTGTAGAGTCTTGGCCACTAGACCATCAGAGAAGTCCCCAGGATTTTATTTAGAATCATGTGTTGCATTCACTCAGATCTCCTTAGTTTCTTTTAATGTAGATCAAGTAAGTCTCCTGTCTTTTGCTTTTCTTTCATTACATCAACATTTTTGAAGAGTCCAGGGCCAGTTATTTTGTGGAATGTTCCTCACTTTGGACTTACCTGTTTCCTCATGTCTGTCTGTCTATTATCTATGTCTGAAAATTCATCTATGTTTGTTTTTGAGACCCTGCCTACAAACACATTTGTTGAAAATGTTAAACTGTTTTTCTGTATTTTTAAAATGTTTTTAGGCAGAGGAATATTTTCAGTGGAATAAGTTACCATGTGGCATTACTTCCAAAAATAGAATTCCACTCCACACAATCAGCATTAAGCCATCTACCATGTGGTTTGGAGAAAGGACCAGAAAAACCAACATCATTGTGAGGTAAGCAAGCAGTGTCTTTGGAGAGAAATGTTGTTCAATCACTAAGTCATTTCTGACTCTTTGCAACTCCATGGCCTGCAGCACACCAGACTTCCCTGTCCTTCACTGTCTCCCAGAACTTGCTCAAACTCGTCCATTGAGTCGGTGATGCCATCCAACCTTCTCATCCTCTGTTGCTCCCTTCTCCTGCTGCCTTCAGTCTTTCCCAGCCTCAATGTCTCTTCCAGTGAGTTGCCTCTTCGTATCAGGTGACCAAAGGATTGGAGCTTCAGCTTCAGCATGAGTTCTTCCAATGAATATTCAGGACTGATCTCCTTTAGGATTGACTGGTTTGAACTCCTTGCAGTCCAGGTGACTCTCAAGAGTCTTCTGCAGCACCACAATTTGAAGGCATCAATTAAATCAATGGTTTAGTAAATGCAGTCTAGTCTAAGCCCAAGAAGAGGATACATTACAATTGTGGAAAATAACCTCTGAAATTTACACTCTATTTGAACTACAGAAATGCTGCTTCCAAACCTATCTATTGGCCAGTATCTCCCAGAGTCTACCTGCGTTAGACAGACAAGAGGGTTAGAGTTGGGGTGTCTTGCTTGGTGGGGAGTCATGAATGGATGTTGTAGGAAGCAGAAGCCCTTGGTGGAGTAGGGGAGCCCCACACTGATCATTATGTTTTAGCAAATTTCCTTAATGTTCGATATTCAGAATGTCTACAAAAATTTACATTTCTGGAAAGGGTCCCCCCTCTCCAGAACAAAGGAGAAATTACTGATGGTAGGATGATTTCACACTGCAGTAGCCTACATGGAAGGACTTGAAGTTTAGAACTTAGTTTTGATTAAGTGACCTTTAATTTTGTGTTTGCATCTCCCACTAGGACTGGAGAGAGTTCCTACAGAGCCTGCTTTTCTTTTCATTCCTCCTACAGCGAGGTAAGAGGATCCCATAGGCTCAGAACCTTGGCAGCCTTCGTGGCTTCTGGGGGCATCTCTTTTTCTACTGCTCAAGGTGGGTTGTGGCTTTTCCTAAAGAAATGCGGGGAAGACATCTCAGTGGATGAGGTATGTCACTAAGTCTAAAGGAAATTGCTGATCATCACCATTTTCAACCTAAACATTGAAGAAAACATACGATTAAGGTTTTCTCTCTGCCTTGCTTTCTAAATTTATTTGAAATTCCCCACTTCAGTTCTGTTTACTTGTCATAGAAGAATGGTAAATCTTACACAGCACATGGAACTATATTCACTGTCTTGTGATGACCTATAATGGAAAAGAATCTGAAGCTGGACACCTGAAGTGAACACAATACTGTAAATCAGCTATAGTTTAATAATTAAAATTTAAAGGCTAACAGACAAAAAAAGTGTCCCTAATGAAATCGTAGTTAAGGTAAAATACTCGATTATACAACACAAGGAATACAGTCAGTACTGTATAAATGGAGTATAACCTTTTAAAATTATGAATCACTACATTGTATACCTGTGACATATAATACTATACATAAACTATACTTCAATAAAATAATTGAAAAAATCTTAAATCTTCTTTGAAGGAGTACTTCAATAAAAAGAAAGAGTGAAAAAAGATCTGAAATCTTATTTGAAGGAGCACTGCAGATAAAACCTCATGATAGACTACCTTGTACTGGCCAGATTCTTGGCCCCTTCCGGATTTTGATTGTACTGAAAAGCCATTTAAAAAATAGTCCTCAATATTCACAAGTGTGCAGGAACAAAGCTGATTGGGGTATACACTCTGTCCTTAGTAAGGATCAGTATAGTAGAATTACTCAGTTGAAGAGGACTTAATATGGTTATGTGAGGATACTTTTTATATAGGATATTGACCTACTAAGATGGGAGCCCGACATACGTAATTTATTTGCAAAATTCTCAAGCATTTCCAAAGTAAATGCTAGCATCTTACAAGTGCAGGGGTTCAGTAATTTCATATATTGGAGAAAAAGCTGGCTTTTTATGACACTTTGTCATATATGATTTTAGTTTTGCCATTTCTGAACTTAATGCATTTCCCTGATAATGGTTATTTTTTTGTATTGGAGGTACACAGATACGGCTCTGCAGCAGTGAGCTGTGGGCATGGTAATGATTTGAACAGCTCCAGGTAATGACATTGTTCTAAAAAAAAAATATTGAAGTATAGTTAGTTTACCATGTTGTATTAGTTTCTAATAGTTTCTAATTAGTTTCTAATGTATAGCAAAGTGATTCAGTTATTTGTATGTGTGTATATATAATACACACACACACACACACACACACACACACACATTCATTTCAGATTCTTCTCCCCTATAGGTTATTACAAAATACTGGATATAGTTCTCTGTGCTATACAGCAAGTCCTTGTTTACCTATTTGATACATAATAGTGTGTATCTGTTGATCCCAAATTCCTCATTTATACCTCTGCCACCCCCTTTCCCCTTTGGTAATCACAGGTTTATTTTCTATGTCCTTCCCCCGCCCCCCCAAGTATTATTGATTCTCATCATTCGTGGATTCCTCATCACAAACCCACCTGCTCACTGACACTTGTCTGAACCCTTACATCAGTGCGCATGGTGCTCTGTGGTCCTTTGCACACATGTACACCCGGGAAGCAAAGGGTTGGACTCGCCTGACACGCACATTCCCGACTCAGGTCGCACATGGTGGCCTCCTGCCTTCATGTTTCAGCTCACAGACTGTAAACAAGTGTCCTTTTCACTATTTACTGCTGCATTTTCCACATTTTTGTGCTTTTGGGGTGATTTTGTTGTTTGAAAGAGCCCCCAGGTGTAATGCTAAAGTGCTGTCAAGCGTTCCTAAGCGCAAGGAGGCTGCAGTGTGCCTTATGGAGGAGGTACCTGTTTGATTTTTGTTCATTTGTGAGTTACAGAGTCACTGGCCTTGAGTTCACTGTCCATGGACCAACAATATATATTATGTAAGATGTCTTTGAAGAGAAGACAAGCAAGATTGTGTATTTGATTGGTTGACAAGGTGCTGTGACTAGAGGCTCACAAGAACCCTGTAGTTACTCGACCAGGAACAGTGGTCCACTGTTTGCAGTGACTTTATGGACAAGCAGGAGAGTGCATTGGGTATCTGTCTCCCTGGACCGTTTCTGGTGTGTAGGTCTGACCTTCCTTGCTTCATTCTTAATCCCTCCAAAAGCCTCAGATTTCTACCAGCCTCAATTTTGGATTGATTATACAAATCATATAGGTTGTGGACAGGTAACAATGGTTTTTCATTGCATGCCTGCTCTGAAAGTGCAAATGAAATTGTTTATGAAAAGTAGCCGAAGAATGGATGTCTTTCCCCTAGGCTTAATTAAGCTTCCCGTTTTTAATCCAGAGTTATTAATAACTGCTGTTCCTTACCTCTTGTGGTGCTTTACTTGAAAGAGTTGGGTGCTAATACTTACTTTGTGCCTCAGTCTCCCCATGTGCAGAAAGAAAGAAAGATCCTTGTGTTGTCATGACCAACCCCTAATAGTTTTATTGAATATTTAACCATGTGCTAGGTACCAGGCTTGGAGACGGAAATGGCAACCCACTCCAGTATTCTTGCCTGGAGAATCCTGTGGACAGAGGGGCCTGGTGGGCTGCTGTCCATGGGGTCGCACAGAGTCAGACATGACTGAAGCGACTTAGCATGCATGCATTGGAGAAGGAAATGGCAACCCACTCCAGTGTTCTTGCCTGGAGAATCCTGTGGACAGAGGGGCCTGGTGGGCTGCCGTCCATGGGGTCGCACAGAGTCGGACACGACTGAAGCGACTTAGCAGCAGCAGCAGGTACCAGGCTAAGCACTTCACACGTATTATGTCATTTATACGCTTAGATGAAGAATTGAAGAGACATGAGGTAACTTGACAGAGATCACAAGCTCACCAAGATCTAGTAAGTGACAAAGCAGAAGGCTGTCTGGGTTGCTAAGATGTTTTGAGGAATCGTGAAAGTTCTTGTTTAGCATTCCGAGCTTTGCAGAGGGTATTCATGAATGACATGTTTGCATGTCATTGTCCTTGTTTAGAATAAATCCTGAGAACAAATTAGGCAATCTCAAAGATGTAGTTCCTCTTGGTGTATTGCTAACAATTACACGTCAGAGGAAAGGAATGCAGTTTGAAGACCTTGTTTCCTTTTGCATATTAAATACTCAGCTAAATTCCAACTTCCTGCAAGGAGAGATATTTACTATGGGTGAGTGACCTAATGGTCACTATGGGTATGGAAACTAATGTCGTATGAAGGACAGAATCTCTGAATCCCAGTCATCAGTGAGTCTCACACCTTACTGGCAACCGGAATCACTGCTTCCCAGGCCCCACTGCAGCTCAGTGTTAGGGGATCTTTGGGGATAGGGCCTGCACCTTGTGCATCTCTTCTTGAGGTCCTGGACACTCCTCAGGTGCAGCCAATGTTGGGAGCCACAGTCTTGAGAGATTTCAGCTTCTCCTGGCTTTGCTCTTCTTTAACAACCCAGGGTTTTCATGGGAGAGATAACTGATGCATTTTGTTTTCCTTCTTCCAGATTAAAGATTTCTTGAGCTACATCTGTCCTGTGAATGTCTATCCAAATGTCATCCCATTAGGCACAACTATGGATAAAGTTAAAGAAATGTGAGTGGACTACCTGTGGCATTTATGTTGTTGAATGGGATGGACCCAGAGAGTAGTTTTGGGCTGAAAGTGGGAACAAGGATGTGAAACAGGCTGGTTAGGAGCACATAGGCTTTCTTCAAGCAAGTGTGTTCTACATAATCCTAAAGGCTTCTGGGAATCTGGCAGAAGGAAGCTGATGTGACACTGAAATTCCCTGAATGCCAGAAGTTGTTCCTCTATTAGTTTACTAGTTATTAGGCTAGGGACCTGCTTTTCTGCAGTGCAAAAACAAAAGAGAAAAGTTTTGCTCTCCCCAGTCCTACAATTAGATGGAGGTCTACTAGGTTGTTTAAATGCTTGTATTTACCACTTTGTTACAGGAAAGTAATTTCTGATTATCAAACATTGCTTTTCTGCTTTTAATAGTAGTGGTATGGCTTTCCCCCCATAGTCAGGTTTTCATAACCTCTATAGCACTTATATTCCAGCAGCTTTTCCAACAGGAAAAATAAAATACTCTTCTTATTTCAGCTTAAAGCCTTTATGCCGATCTTCCCAAAGTACTGAGCCCAAGTATAAACCACTTGGAAAACTGAAGAGAGCTAGAACAATCCACCTAGACTCAGGTAAGAAGAATGACCCTGGCGTCCTGGATATGGGTTTCCCTGCAAGGCTGCTTTTCAGGGTGCTGTGGTCTGGGGAAAGCTGTCTTTGTGGTGTCTTCTGAAGTGTAAAAATTTAAATGTTGATGAAGCCCAATTTATCAAATTCCATTTATAGCTTTTGCTTTTGATGTCAAAATCCAAGATCATGAGGATTTACTATCATATTTTATCATTTCTGGGTCAATTTTGACTTTTCCTTATTATAGGTTTTATTTTCTCACCTTTCTACACATCTATTGGATGCCATGGTATATTTGATCTTTGTCATTGTACACTTAGGTTATTTTGAACTTTTCAGTTTTATAAATATTGTGATGAACATTATCTGTTAAGTCTATTTCACAGCTCTCATTATTATTATAGGATTGAATTGTAGAAATTACAGTATTTGATACATATCGCTAAATTGATTATACCTGTTTACACAGACATCAATAGTACATGATGGTTGGAAAGTAGCTGTGAATTATGACATTCATCCTTTTTTATTGGCTTTAGGTGTCTTATCAGTTTGTGTAAATGTTTTAAGCATTTCAACACTTAAAATTTCTTATGTTTTGTTATATGCCTTCCCATTTTCAGAGAGAGAAATTTCAAATTTTTATAGTCATAGCATAGAATAATGTAAAAATAAACTTCTAATAGCATAGAAATTTTACTTTTTTCCAGACACATACAGGTGAGTTAATAATGTGAAAATGTTCTGACAGATTATTTTTACAGTTGAAACATACCATGATACTGATATAGTCACTGATTAAGAAGAACATGAAGCTGTCCAGCTTTATAGGTGATACAAACACATTCCACAGAAAGGTAACTTTGGCACATTGTGAAGGAGCTGTAACAAATGTATTAATCCCTGGCTTAAAATGAAGCCATAACTTGGACATTAGGATGACTACAGATACAGCAGCTAGACATCTTAAGTCACCGTAAGTCCTTTAGAAGATGAGTAGAAGATAAACAGTTGCTTGTTTGAACAATTATCAGTTGTAACAGAACCCTGGACTTTAAGAGCTGGGTTTCCTCCCTCAACCCGGCGTCTGGTATCTTGACCCTTGCGTTGTCACACACCTTCTCCAGGCCTGTCTCCTCAGTGGTAAGATAGGAAGCTCGATGATGGTTCCTATACTACCACCCCCCCGCCCCGTTAAAGCAGCTTTGAGAAGTGTACTTTTAAGCTACACCCTGTCACTGGGAAAATAGTTAACTTATAATTACGTGCTTCTTAACACCAGGTTCATCACTAGAATAGGTAAGCTACCCTATCCAGTAAGCAGTCTCAGGAGCATTCCATTTCCTTCTTCAAGCTTAGGTATTATTAGAGAGCAGGAAAATATTTGTTCGCCCTTCCCTAATTCCATGCCATGTCACTTTAACTCATGTAAAGTTCATTCTCTATGTAATACTTCCTCATTTTCAGGATGTAAGTGGACAGGGCTCACTTCAGGCCAGTGCAGCATGCTTGAGACAGTAAAATGACACCAGATGTGGCTTATTCAGTATTTTGGTTAAAGCTGATCTGTTCCCCCCGCCCCCTCCACGTCTCTTGTGGCCTTGTGCACTTGGCACAGGCTGCATAGCAACGAGCAGACACTGGGTGACTGCTCACAGTTCTGGGGGCTGCTGGGATGGCACGATCAAGGTGCTGGCAGGTCTGGGTCTTGGTGGGGGCCCACTTCTTGGCTTGTACCACCTTCTCACTGTGCACACACGTGGCCTTTCCTTTGTGCATGGGTCTGGAGAAAGTGAGAAATCTGCTTCCTCTCCTTACGGAGACACTAATCCCATCACATGTGTTCCTCCCCCTCCCCACCATGAGCTAATTATCTTCTAAAGGTCCCACCTCCAAATACCACCATAGTTAGAAATTAAGAATTTTGAAAGGATACAGACATTTAACCTGTAACATGCATGAAGTATTAACAGATATCAAAAAAATGCTCATAGGAGGAAAACTTTAGAAAAAAAATTGTCTTTTTATTAAATCAGCCAATGCATTGAACATCTACTGGCTGAGCACAAAGAGTCTGCAAATGTCTCTCCTAGTATAGATGGTTTTAAAGCCAAACTGATGTAGAGAATCAGCTGTAGAACTTAAAAAATAGATTATTCGGTCCTACTTTCAGGGACTCAGTAGGTCTGAAATGAAATGTAGAAAGCTATTTTATTTAAAAAGCTCTCCAGATAAGAACCACTGATTAAGACTCTCTAATCAGAGGGGAGTGCAGATCTCTAGTCTCAACTCACTGCCTGGCTTTATGACAAGCTGAAGGCTGGTAGTCAGGTCAGATTGTTCAGAATATCCCAAGAATAAGCGACCTTTTAACTTCTCCTGGAAGAAGAGTGAATTCCCATTATTTGCAATTCTATGAATTGAAAAATGCAGCTAAGTGCTGCAAACTGGATTTTTAATTAAAAGCATGAATTGGTTTCCTTCTGCATTGTCACTTACACACCTTGTTCTGTTTGTCTCACAGAGGAGGAAGATGACGATGGTCTCTTTGATGATCTTCTGCCGGCACCTTTAAGGCACAAGGTTCCAAGCCAGCAGACTCTTCACCCTGAGGTATTTCCCACACCTGCTATATCTCAAAACCAGCCTGAAAAATGGAGAGAAAGCACAGGATGCTTCAAAGCAGAGAGTATGCCAACGTTCCTTTGGGCAAACTTTATAGATTGTGAGGAATCCAACAGTGAAAGTGAAGAATCAGAAATTCCAGGATCAGCTCAAAGAGACACAGGTCCCGTCCTCCAGCCCCAGCAGAGGGCCAGTGGGGAAGTACCGCAGTGGGAAGTGTTCTTTAAAAGAGATGCTGAAGGCACAGACGACTGTTTGGAAAACCTCCCATCTTCCACAGAGGCGGGGGGCTCCCAGTCCCCGAAGCTTTTCAGTGATTCTGATGGGGAGTCAACGCACATTTCTTCCCAGGACTCCTCTCAGTCAACACACATATCGGAACAAGGAAGTCAAGGTTGGGACAGCCAATCGGACACTGTTCTGTTATCTTCCCAGGACAGAAACAGTGGGGATGTTACCTCCTTGAACAAAGGGGTCTATAGGCCAGGAATCAAAGAGAATATTCCTGCCCCTCAGCCAGAACAAAATGTACTTTGCCTAAAGGACACTTACTCGGATTTCAAAAGCAGAGATCAATATGTAAACATAGTTCCTAGTGCTGGAGAAACCACCACTCTAAGCAGTGGGAAACAGATGCTTCAGGAGAAGAGGCCATTGACTCTTAGCAGCAGTGCAGATTCACAAAGCTCCTCTGATTTTGAAATTCCTTGCACTCCAGAAGCTGAGCTTCCTAAACAAGAACACTTACAGTATTTATATGAGAAGTTGGCAACAGGGGAGAGTATAGTAGTTGAAAAAAGAAAAGGCTTATTTCATTCTAGAGCAACCACTAAAAAATCTATACTAACAGATACCAGTCAAAATTATAATAGATAAAAATGGAATACTTAGAAATGATCCTATTAACTAAAATGTGGCAGTAAAGAGGAAATGGATGACCGAAAAATAGAACAGAATACTTAGAAATGATCCTGTTACCTAAAAGGTGGCAGTAAAGAGGAAATGGATGACCGAAAAATAGAACAGAAAACATGACATAGGAGAAATAAATCCAAACATATCAATTGTTTTCCAGTCGCTAAGTTGTGTGTGACTCTCTGTGACCCAGTGGCCTGCAGCACCCTATGCTTCCCTGTCCTTCACTACCTCCCAGAGTTTGCTCAGACTCATGTCCAAAACATATCAATAATTACAAGGGAATGGGGGAAAAAGGTAAACCAACTATATACTGCCTATAGGAAACTGACTCCAAAAGACTTGGGTAGGTGTACCAGTGAAAGAATGGAAGACTTTACCCTGTAAACATTACTTCAAGATGCAGTGTCTATACTCTAATGTTAAAAGGTCCAGGTCACTGAGACAGAATTGAATCCTAAATGAGTAAGTGCCTAACAACGTTTAAATACACAAAGCGAAAACAAAGAAGACAAACTAATGCATGATTACAACTATAACAGAATAAGTTTAGAAAAATAAGCAAGGATATGGAAGAACTGAATGGCACCCTCAACCAACTGGATTTAACTGATAAAAGGAGAATACAAGCTTTTCAAGTTCACACAGGACGACGTTCACCGATGGATCATATCCCAGGTCATAAACACACTTCAAACTTAAATAAGCTTGAATCTATTACTGTAAACTGATGGCTACAGAAGAAAGTCAGCCCCTTACCTACCTCAGGTGTTCCATCATCTTTAAGAATGTTGGGGGAAGACAGTGTTAAAATTAAAACCTAAAGAAAATACTTAAAAGGCATTCAACCTCTTTAAAATTCACCAATAGGTTAAGTTTTTGCATAGTTATGTATGTGTATTTAATATACTTATTCACAAGTGTTTATGATATTCATAAACATTTTGGTTTGCTGATATTTCGTATTAAGAAAGCAAAAGCAGAGCTTTCACTTAAGTGGAGTCTCTAAAAACGAATTTGCAGATCAGTGAAACTAAAATGCATTATCACCATGCTGCATTGTAGAAAAACCAAAAATAAGTACTGAATCCACAAGACTAATTAAGGTTATTCAACAGAATCCACGGAAGAGGAGAATAAACTGGGTGTTTAGGGGAGCCAATACCAAGTGGACCTAGGAAGCTAGCCCTCTCACTTGTCCAGAAGGGAATTTTCCATTCCCAAGTGCTGGGAGGATAAATTAGCCCATGTCTATTTACATGGGAGGAAAACTGGACAGTGACATTTAAGTTTCAGCTAAGAAACTGGCACCAGAGAGGGGTAACCCAATGTGATAAGGCTCAGGGCTCACAGCTGGGGGCCTGGTGCTACTCCTTTCTGTTCTTTGAGGAATATGTTGAATCATAATTTACAGCACATGTCTTTGTCCTAAATTACTCAACAATTAGTTTATTAATATGTACATCAACAGAGACTGGGCTGAGCATCAAAATATAGCTGCCAAAGGAGCTGAAGAATGCAGAGGTTTAAGGGGACACGGAACCTTTTTTCTAGCTCAGATGCTACCCTGAGCTTTTGATGAAATACACTCTGCAGACTCAGTGTGACTGGGGAAGAATTATATATTATTCTATTTTGCGCAGCTCCCCTATGAGTACCATTATGTAAATTCAACCTGAATATAAAGTTACTAGAGACAACCAGTAGCAACTACAAGATGTTCAACTCTCATAACTACAACCGGCCTATTACAGGAACCCAGAGACTTCATTTTTAATTTTTAGCTCTAAAAATTAATTATACTTCAATTATCATAAGTCACATAGTCAAATGTAACTACTGTATACACTTGTACATATTCACTGACCCTTAAGACGTCATCTTAACAGTAGAGCTTATGATCCAAGGTGGGTGTTCAAAACATGCCTGTAAACATTCTTCTGAATATATTTGCAGTATTATCACCATCAATTTAATATTTTTATTGTTTTATATGTGATTCTAGCATAATAAATGCTAGCTGAATGTATTTAATGGCTAAGAGTACTAGAACAGACTTTGATCAAAAACCCTGCAGTGATCACCATATGTTTTACAGTACAGAATAATTACAGCTAATACTGATATATGGCGCTTCCTCTGCAACAAGGCTTAATTCTTTCACACACTCTTTACTCCTCACAAGCACCCTTTGAGGTAAGCACACTTAACATCTCCATTCACAAAGGAGGAGGCTGAGGCAGAGGGGTTAGTTTATTAGTAAGATGTGAAGCCAGAACTCAAACAAGGCACTCAGGGCCCCCAGGCCATGCTCTTGACCACTGGGCACTGAAGCCTCTCAAGAAGAGCATAAAAGTGGGTAGGATTCATTACACTGGCTATTTGAGTTTTACTTCAAGAACTGTGATGTATAAAATAAGTGGAAAAGTTTCAAAATGCCAAGGTATATTATCACGAAAGAAACCCATGGCTAGCCACATTTCCTTAGAGAGGAATCCAGGACTTCGCAGTTTGTTTAACAGCAGAAACTGATTTAAAAAAAAAAACAAAAACACGTCTGCCTGAAGTTGGTCAAGTATGTTAAAAGCAGTCAAGTGTAGTTTCCGATTGTGGGGATGTTAACGTTAACCGTGGCAGTCTGAGCCCATGTCTTCAGTGTGTTTAGGGAAGGCAGCACCAGCGTCCTCGACTCATGAGAAGCACAGGACATGCACAGGGCCTGAGACTTGCTCAAAGGTTATCAGCTCTAATTCTAAAAGGCCTCTGCACTTCCAGGCAGTACTTAGCAAAACTGCGTAAGTACCTGGTGACTAATAATGCTCAAAAAATTTAAGCATCCATCTACCTTATGCTAAGTACTTTAGCATAAAGTACCATAAAATGGTACTTTAATATTCAAATGCATGAGCCATGACAATAATAAAACTTTCTTAAAAGTAATATTTAAAAGAATGGTATAAACCTTTGGTTAATCTCAGTAACAGGTAGTCAGGAGTACATCAATAATTTTCTGCCCCTTTAGCTTTACTGAAAATGACAGCAAAATATTCAGAAATAAAGCTAAGGTATAATAAAAGAAAACCAAATGCTAAACTAAATTTATTTTGCTAAGAGAAACTGCTTACTATAAGTAAGTGCAATCTAGATTTTGTGCATATGTGGGGGAAAAAACCCTGAGCTTACCAACTGTGTGTCAGAATCTTTTTCTGTAGATACTGAAAACAGTGTTATCAATACAACTTAACAGTGGATTAATTTACAGCATTAACTTGATCTAAATATTGTAAACTTGATCTAAATATTACCCTTGCATATCTGTTTGATATTGAGAGAACAAATTCTGACAACTTAGGAAACAAGAAGCTAGATGTTGACTTAAAATAGTTAAAGCTCCTAACAGCTTCATTTAGTTTCTATTATTTTACTACTTAAGTTCAGCTATTCTAACGACTCACGGTTAATGTGGGTATTTAAAATGTCAAAAGCTCATTACATTTCTATAAGGACATTTCTATAAGGACCAAATGCTAGTTTACCGAAAATAGTCATTCTTCCCTTTGTTTTCCAGCTTTACATTTCTTTAACACAGAGTAGACAAGATCAACTAACTAGATAGTAAAACACTGACCAATGTTACAATTACATCTTGAACCTGTGAGAATTATAATTCAAAGTAAGTCAGGCCCCTGGGAGCAGCTGTAAATTTGTGACTTTTTTTTTTAAAAACCACTGACACCTTGTGACTATTTTTTATCAAGAACAACAAGAAATGGAATTAAAAAATGTTTTTCTCTTTGACGCCTCCAAATTTTGGTAAGCAGATATACTCTGAGGCTCCAAACATGTAAACAATTCACCCTGTACTATGAAAAAGCAAAGTCCTGTGACAGCAATATTAACAAAGTGCAGCTTCTCCCAAGAAGAGAAGCGAAGAATTAAGATGTGAAGTGCTGCATTCTTGAAGTCAGTTCAGTTTTACTCAAGGGTTCTGTGGGTCATTAAAGCCTCAGGCAGTGAGCCCTGGCAGGACCTAATTAGGAATACCAAAAGCCAGACTTAGCTGTTATATTCACTGTCATGTTGGACACCATGATTAGACGTTCCAGGATCTGAGGGAGATGAAAATAGTTTTTTTCCCAACTTAGGTTTCACTATGTAGGAAAAAACAAAACCAACTCCCCACCCCAAACAATGAATATAGTCACTTCAGTCTTCAGAGTTCAAGTAATAAATGGTCTCATAATTCAGGCACACACTTTGGCCAAGCCAAGTTTAGCTTTATCACATGAAAAAAATTCATGTATAAAATAAGTATCAGTTCAAAATATAGATCACTTCTTAAGAAAGGCATGCAGGCCCTTTATTATAAAAATAATTTAGTGGCAAGGAAATGTTAAAACTACCTGAACTTCAGAAGATGCAATGTTAATTATTGTGTGGAACATTATCATTACATACAGCTGCTCTTAAGAGAGATCTTGTTTTTACTGTGGAGACCAGAGGTATTCAGCAGAGATCGCCTGATTCATGTTATTAAGAGGGTCCTATAAAGTGCTCCATCTCCCCTGCCTGGCACTCCAAAAGACATGCATGGCCCCATGCCTCATCCTTTCTAAGAAGCGTATCAGCCAGCCATTCTAGAATTTTAGGAAAACTTCAGAAACCTTTCTTCTACAAGATTAAAAAATCTTTTACTGGTTCAGATAGCCACCCCTCCTGCTGGTCTAGATTGCTTCAAAATATTAAATCAAGCTGCAATTAAATTTTTTTACATTTAATTTTAGACCTTAAATTTCTATATCATTAAGATACCAATGTTTTAATGAAAGTAGAAAATAGAGTATAATTCAGTATCACCTATTTGTCTCAAATACAAGTACAAAGAGTTGTAAGTAGGTAAACAGGAATGACAATAACAAAAATAGAACTTGTGTATTTGTCCAATATGAATTAACTCTATTTCTCTAAATTCAAGGTGTATGGCAAATTGAATGTTCAATCTTAGCAACTGTTACATCATCAGTTTAACAAACACTGAAGGAGGCATTTCTCTATATTCACAGACTTCCTCTTAAGTATATATCTGTTGATCTGCAAATAGTTTTCCTTTCATGTTTGGTATCTAACCACTGAATATGTATATTTAGAATTAGTGTATGTGACCCTATGTGCCTCTCTTCAAAAGTATCAGTAACGCATTTGGCCAATAGTCTGAAAGATGAATTGTAAATCATCGTAGTGTATAATCTTGATAATATGAAAAAAGTCCGAAATACTTTTAAAATGTTAACATTAGAAAAAACACTGTAATCGTCATAAGTTCTATTTCCTGAAAATTCAGTTGAGGTAACCTCTGCAAGTCACAGCTCCACATTTGCACACAGTTCTGGCTCTCTTTTTGGCTGGGCTGTGGTCAATAGAATCTGAAGATACATCTCCAGAACCTGGATACATAGAAAAAGAAATACAGGACAAAGAGTTAAGACAATTCATAATGAGTTTCAAATTTTTTATCAGTTATAAGTGTGAATATTCAGAGACAAATCATTATGAAATGTCATGAAAGGATGGTGTGGGCAAGTCAGAGGCAAAGTGTCTGTTATTACCCCGTATTTATGAGGATGGGTTTGTGAAATGATGAAACTTACTAGTAAAATTCAATACATAAGCATTCATTTCATAAATTTCTTAAGAGCCATAAAGCAAGGTCAAATAGTAACAATATGTAAAGGGCATCATACTTAGAAAAAACAGTATGAGTTTTCTTTCCTAAGCAAAGAATATAGTAAAGCACATAAAATTAAATGTTCACAGTAAAGCAAAGAGAATTCAATGTTCTTTTTAAAAGCCAGATTCAAGTAGGAATGGAGTAAGCTCATATATGATTTACATCATATTTTCAATCTTTTGAATACACATCTCAGTAAACATTCAGAAATGTAAGGCTGAAAATTTTTTAAATACAAGTAATATTGAAAAAAGATCTTATAATAAATAAGCTTCTATATGGAAGTTCTGAAAAAAGCAGGCAGCAACTTGATGTAAAGAAACAGCATTACTCAGCCCCCAAGGTCAGGCAGACCTGGATTCTAGCATTAGCTCTGTCAGATTAGCTTTGTGCCCTTGATTGAAAAAACAAACTCTTATAGCCTTTTTTTCCCTTTCTATTTAGTTAGTATTTAGTTTGGTTCAGATGTTCTAAGGTTTTCTATTCTAATTAGATTTTTCACACTGATATTCCATCAGAGAAACTATTTGAAAATCATACCTTTCATTTGATAATCAAAAGTGAGTTCTTCTCCAGCATTGATAGTTCTTGTGGAAAATAATGCTATTCGGGGAAGACGGGTATCGAGGTTATCAATGAAAACATTGAACACCTGAAGGTTTGGGTCACACTAAAAAGGAACATGAGAACCCACTTAAGTAAAAATGACATGAATAAGCTCTTCTATATGCTATGTAAAATCATTAATTTCCTAGAGCATTAGTCTTAAATTCTATGAGAAATTAAGTGGCTTACTGTTTAGAGGGTTTTGAGGCATTCACACTGAAAAACAGCATTCCCTTACAGAAAATTTCAGACATAAACCAAGAGAAAATAAGTTCACATACATCCACTATGCAGCTTCAAGGATTATTAACATTTCTCTCATTCTTGTTTCATCTAATCCCAACTTCTTAATTGTTTCTGGAGAACTTTAATGCAAGTATTAGATAATATCTCACCTGTAAATATTTTAGTAAGGCATAAAAATATTTTTTGCTTGTGTCTAAAATTTTTAATTTAATATTTTTGGAGAATGTTTGACAGCAGTAACTAAAATCATGGCAAGTGAAACTGCAGATAAGCAGGGACTACTGTACCAAAAGTTTATTGAAAAGCCTAGAAAGTCAAAAAAAGCCCAAGCAGAACATCTAGAAATAGATTATTAAAATTAAAAGATGCTCTAGTAAGGCTTAAAGAACTGCAGTAACTGTTCTTAAAAAATCAAATCATGCAATTTCATACTGCATGGAGTTTCATTTCTTAAAACTTTTGATTGGAATTATTCAGTATTTTGAGAACTCTACACTAAATTCTAGAATATGCAAGAAAGATCCAGTGAATCATACTAAGAAATAAAAATGACTGTTTTACTGTCCTTGAATAGAGTATCTATTTTGAAAGCCTTTTGATTTTATCATTAAGAAAAAATTAAATGTTTAAGTAAACCAGGAAACTAAGATGTCAGAAGGTCTCTGGTATTTCATTACTCATCATAAACTAGTTTCTTGGTATAAAAACCCATCAGAAGATTAGCATGGTCTACCTTCCTTCTATGGTCAACTATAGGACTTACTCTCTGAGACACATTTTTCTTATATCTATAAAATGGAGATAATGCCAATCTCACAAGCCTAAAACTGTTATCCATCGAGCACTAAATAGGTGTCTAGTAACTCCTAACCTCCCTTATAGTTTTTATAGAGTGTAGTTTTTTAGAGTATAAGTTTTTGGAGTTAAGGTTCTAACTGTATTCTAAGTTTGTTTTAAATAAGAATTAAGAATGCTAATTCATAATTTGGAAAAGTAGCCCTAAATACTTCAGTACTCTAGAAATCCTAAAATTTTATAAAAATGTTAACATGTTTACATTTTAAGAGAATACAGCAATCTTTCTTTAGTCATACATCCTAAATTTAGCTGTGTTAACTTCTATAACCCATATAGCGGTGTTAATTTTTCAACTTATTACCTCTTAACTCCTCTGGTGATTAATTTCCTTCTCTGTATGAGGATAATACCTATCTTATAAAGTTGTTGGAAAGTTTAAATGAAGTAATACATGTAAAGATTCTTAAAATGGATGGTATTTGATAAGCACATTGATGAATTTTCCTAAAAGAGCAGTAATAACAGGAATTAACAGAAAAGGGCCTTGTATTAAAATACTTTGGAAAAAATGACAAAGTATATAATTATCCCTCAAGTACAGAAAATCGTTTAAGACAGTACTAATTAGTCCTGTCTATAGTAAGTAGTCCTAGTCCTGTCTATAATAAGTATCTTACACTGTGATTCACAAAATGAGACACATTTCCGTATCGAGCTGCATCCACTGTGAATTCATCAGATTCATAGTCCAGATCAAAGAGATATGTGATTCCTTTGTTGTCATATAACTGCCCACGTCTCTCGGCTTCCTCGCTGGTGATTACCTAAAAAGAAAAAACTATAGTATATTATATAGCTGTTGCTTAAGTAAAGAAACATTCATCCATAAATCTATTAATGTATTAATGGCCTTCAAGTGCATAAAAAGAAATAAAAATGCCATCAAAATAAACATTTACATAAACTACTCTAGAAAAACTAGATGAAAAGAGGTGGGGAAACGAAAGGAGAAAATGAGGGTGCTAAGTATGACTATTTAAATGAGAATTAGGACAACCCAACAATTACCAAGCTGAAATAGTATACTACTTTGGTTCTAATTTATTTATATGTTCAATATGTCAATACAGGAGCTACACAACTATAGCTCTCTGTAGAACACACCAGAATGTAAAGAACTAAGTTTACAAGTATCTGTGCTCTAAAGCATAATTTTCCTATAATTAATCTGTGTGTAGTTACAAATGGAAATTAGTTGCAAATACAGGAGAGAAGGTACGCTAAATCCACAGTTAACTGAATGGCAAGTTTAGTTTTGTAGAATAGGTGGTTTTCATGAAATTCTGCAACTCACAACCATCATTTATACAGTTCTCTGAAGAACACAGCTTCACCACATGCTCAGATTAAGAAACCAAAAATGTCTCAAGTGATTCATGGTGGCAACCAAATTCAGTTGTATTTATTAAACTCAAAAAGAGAACGATTTGATTATATGAGATCCAGTCTCCTGAATAGTGATTTATAATAATCTGCCATTGTCTAAAAATTTAAGGATAAAAATAGGGATGCAATCTGACCTGAGAATTCTGGGTGAATGCAGATACTTAAAGGTTATCCAATTCCAAACAACTTCTAAAATATCTGAGTTGACAACCCCAGATAGGCAGTCACACTTGTATTTTTCTAGCCACAGCCTCTCCCACCATTCAGTCTGGGAAAGAATGGTGCAGGGGTCAAGATTCTAGAGGCTTGGTTTTGAATCTTGATTCTTTGTTACTACTAAGTGACCCTGGGTGAGTTGCTTAATTTTTCTCTGTGCCTCAGTTTCCTCCTGTATAATAACGAAGAGAATGCTACCACCTCATAGAGTTGTTGACAGAATTCATAAGTTAAAACACAAGGTGCTTAGAATAGTATGCGGTAAATACTATCTTCTGTATATCTACATTGAATGTATAAAAATTTGCTTAGTATTTGGTAATTCAGAGAACAGTCTTTGTAGCTGAGTTACAAAGGATTTGGATGTTTCTTGCTGGCGGGTCCCTGGAGAAGGAAATGGCAACCCACTCCAGTACTCTTGCCTAGAAAATCCCATGGACGGAGGAGCCTGGTGCAGGTCCATGGGGTCGCAAAGAGTCGGACACAACTGAGCCACTTCACTCATTCACTCACTGCTGGCGGATGCAATACATGTCTTTATGTGTATTTTACAGTACTTGCTCATAAAACATCCATTTACTCTACAGTCTTTCCTACTGATGTAAAATTGAGTTTTGCCGACTACACATAATCATATTTGGTCAAATGGATGAAGTGAATTACAATTTAACAGCTTCCGGAGCCCAGCTGGGTACCCTGTGTTGCCCGAGAGGGGTGGGGTGGGGGTAGGGAGCCGCAAGAGGGAGGGGGTAGGGATACATATATTTATGACTGATTTGCGATGTTGTACAGCAAAAGTCAACAAAACATGGTAAAGCAATTTTCCTCCAATTAAAAAGTAACCCCCCCATCCCGGCAAGTTTCCAAGTCAGGATGCATTTAGATCTGATTTTCAAAATTGTCTTAGGACTCTTGTGTAAAAATAGTTGTCATATTTTCAAATTTACAAATGCCAGTTTCAGTGATTTATGACAGGGTGTTTAGTTGAAAGATGACTACTACATTTGCCATTATATATAATTTTTTGATTCATATCAAGTTTATATTTTTAATTGATGCCAGTGAACCCATCTTTCAAACCTGAAGTTTGTACATATTTGCAATGATAATATCAAAACATACCAAATGTTTGTCACTGAGGTTAAAAAGGCAACTTTTCAAAAGCATAAACCTTCCTTGTACATTATCTGCTATGAGAGAAGGTGACCGTACCTCTCCAACATATTCCATGACAAAACTCATTCTTTTAATCTTCACAAGGGTTTTTACACCCCAGCCACAGCCATTGCTGGTTCGAAAGATGCAAAGCGAATACTGTGTGCCTTTCTGTACAATCCTGTTGGGACAATCGGGTCCACACTGACACCGTGAGTTGCACTCGTAAATGGGGGTACCAGGTGGGATTTTAATTTGTTGATTTTTATTATAAGCCAAAAGAACTCCAGCTTCAGCAGGACAACATTTTTCAAAGAAGCAATCTCTGCATGAACAACCAAAGGTAGCTTCATTTACTAAGCTGATTCCAGGAGCTGGTTTGTATTCATTAATGTAGTAGAAGTCTGAAGGGGGCCCCTCCAAGTCCACAGTATTTTCAACAAAAATCATTCCTTTGTGAGTCTTCCTTCTGTTGAGTTCATCCTGCCACCTCTGCAGGGCTATCCTTTGCTTAGCCTTCTTCACAATGTATTCAGCAACAGCAGGTTTCAAGGCTCTGTGATTTTCTTTGAGAGTTATTGCTTTGCCTTTCTTTACCTGAGATAAATAATTATGCTTGTCATTAGAGAACTGCTGAAGTAGTAATGGGCACTTGAGATTTTGCAAAGGTTCCCAAGTATTTGTAGAATCTGGCCATCCTTTCCATTTTACAAGATAATATTCCATATCCTTAAAATATAAAAGAAAATGCAAATCAGATTATGACATATCCATTTACTGAAAATAATTTAATATCTTGAAGAGTATTATTATTTTTCTTAATAAAGTTCATAATACACAGTTACAGGTTACTAGCAGATGAAATACAAATCATAAAGCTGTTTTTCTTTTCATTACATAAAATATGTACAGAAAACTTAGATATAGCATAGTGTTTGACTACAGGCAAAAGAGTCACACCTGGGGAAAGATAAAAGTACTGAAATTCATGAATATGTTACCAGTGATCAAGTTAAACAAAACAGTATTTACCTTTATATGGAAATAAGTTGTACCAAAACGAATTTATGACATAGGTCAGCAGTTTGCTTGGCCAGCACAGCTGCAGGCACCCTCTAAGGTCTGTGATAACTGATTCAATGGACATGAACTTGGGCCAACTCCAGGAGATAGTGAGGGACAGGGAGGCCTGGAGTGCTGCAGTCCATGGGGTCACAAAGAGTTGGACACGACTTGGTGACTGAACAACAAGGTCTGTAATTTAATACTTTACACTGGCTATGAGGGAAGTTCTTTTTCATTAATGTCCAGGACACACCTCCCTACATTTTCTAGAGTGAACTGTACGGGGCATTCCTGGCTGCATGTCGCTACTGAATGTGGCTGGTCCAAACTGAGATGTGCTCTATGTGTAATACACACTGCACTTCAAAAGACTCAGCACAAAAATAATATAAAGTATTTAATTTTTAAAAAAGCATTGATTACACATGGAAATAATATTTGGGGTTAAATTAAATGTATTATTGAAATAAGTTTCACCTGGCTCTTTCCATTTTGTTTAATGCAGTTACGAGAAAAAAATTTTAATTACAGTTGTCCTTTGGTATTCACCAGAGGATTGGTTTCAGGATCCCTCTCGGATACTAAAATCCACTATGCTCAAGTCCCAAATGTAAAATGGCATAGTATTTGCATAGAGCCTACTTGTATACTTTAAATCATCTCTAGATCTAATATAATGTGAATGCTATATAAATAGTTGCCAGCACACGGCAAATTCAAGTTTTGCCTTGCAACTTTCTCTTTTTCAAATATTTTCTCTCTGAAGTTAGTTAAATCCTGGGGCACAGAACCTGGGGATACAGAGGGCCAACTGTATACACCTACAGTTTGTATCATATTTCTGTTGAACAGCACAATTCCAGAGAGACTCGCCTGTGGCTGGATTAGGTGACAGGCCCTCAAAGCATCAAAAATCAAATATTTGATTTATCTTTCAGACTGCTGTTGGTCATTATGATACCCGAAATCCTGCTTTTCTCACCCCAGGAGTTGTCTGTGTCTTCCCAATGCTATATTAAGCTTCTCTTTAAAAAGGTAGTCCAGCGTATGTGCATGTGTGCTAAGTTACTTCCACTGTGTCCGACTGTGCGACCCTATGGACTGTAGTCCACCAGGCTCCTCTGTCCATGGGATTCTCCAAGCAAGAATACTGGAGTGGGTTGCCATTTCCTCCTCCAGGGGATCTTCCCAGCCCAGGGATCGAACCTGGGTCTCTTACATCTGCATTGGCAGGCAGAAGTCTACTGTACATACTATACATAAATTATTCAAGTAAAGTCTCAATTTTCTTGGTTCTCTAGAATAGCAAACATAAGCAAACATAAGTGCTAGGGTAAAATGTCTTCTGAAATATAGAGTAAGTAAACTGCATTCTATGGTTTTTAGTTAGCATTTTAATTCACAGATATTGATTAAAAAATTAACTGGCATACATTTGATTTCCCCTGAAATTTTAAATAGAAGTTTTATTATAAAGTAAGGGTGTTTTACTAGTTCTAGTTTATTATGACCTGGAAGGTCCAGAAAATGTACTGAGGCACGATGGGGTAAGAAGCATTAAGGCAGCCTTGCAGGAGGTCACTTGGCTAGTCAGGGAGCTTATCTCCATGTTTTATTATATTCTACTCAGTACACAATAATGCTTATTAATGAAAAGAGCTCTGCTTTTTTGTGAAAATGGTAAAAATGTTTAGTAAAAAAAAAAGTGACTAAATTATGGCATGAACATATGCACAAAAACTATACTTCTATGAAAATATATACTATGATTCCAGGGGAAAAAAGCCTAGACGTATATCGACGTGTTGGTCAAACCGGCTCACTAAACCTAACACGGGCCGCTCCCTCCTGTCAGGTAACTGCAGTCTGCAGTTGCTGTTAGCGGATAGATGCTCAGTAACAATGAGGATGCTTTGGCACCATGTCACATTACCTATTCCCTTTAATTATAAATAAAAGTTACATTTTTCTGATTCCAAAATAAAACAGTGCAACCCTGGCCCTCTTTTTTTTCTTGCTACAGTCTTTCCTACCATGGCCCTGAGTTATACACCAAAAGTTGCCAGCAAACAATGAAAGAAACACTCAAAACACAAGCCACTGAAGTCTGCTTTCAAAACAATATATTGTTTAATGAGTCAGGTGCATTTTTAGTGATTATTCTGTAATGTTAATTACACTGTACCTACTTAACTTATGGATGGTAAAGGTGCTTCTAAAGTATGAGTGCTATGTAAATATTAGTAACATTTTATTTCTACTTTGTAGATTTGTCTTTCATTTTATAAGCCTCATTTTACTTTTAAAATAAAAAATTTCCATTTTGAAAAATAAGATAAATTTTATACAGAAATCAGTTTGACTTAAATGCAATGATTTCAATACCCTGAACTCTCAAATAAAAGTCAAAAATTTTTTAAGTCTCACAGGATGTCTATATCTTATTCAGACATGCAGTCAACTCTTGATTACCTATAAAAATGGAGTGGAGTCATAAAAATGATCCATTAATCACTCCTGTATAATTTGGAATGCATCATATGAAATTTTTTCTTCAAGACATTTTCCCCCACTATGTTTGGCTTAGGTTAAATTCATTCAAATATTTTAGTGTCTATAATGAGCATGTCGAAGTTCAGTCACTAGGCGGTGGGATGAGATGTAAGATAGTATTAGCTTTTAGGTATAAAATCTCATTGGGAAAGGAAGGCAGTAGTATGTAAAATAAAGAGCAATGCAAGGTGGTACAACTTTAAAGGCCAAAAAAAGTAAGACAATAAATACCACTAAAACATAAAGAAGCAAATCAATATAGGTCAATGAGGAAAAGGCACAGAGGAAGTAGAACAAACTACGCTGTGAAAGACTGATAGCGTTTGTTGGGCAGGGCACAGGGCAGGCAGGATGAGAAACACAAGCAAAGCTTGGAGCTAAGATTTGCATGAAGTATCCAGAAAACAGTGAAGTGACAGATTTAGCTAGCTTTGAGGTTTAGAACACTGAAGCGAGAGATTAAACTGCAACAGCAAGGGAAGAGCAAATTTGGGACAGCCTTGAACACCTGACTGAGGCGTCTGAGCTTTATTGTAGGCCAATGGTTTTAACAACTCTTAGAAACCATGGTGTTTCTGTAGGAAGTCTCTTTCAAAATAAATACATTTAATTTTATCTTGTCTATTAGAACATTTTACCAATCTTCTAACTGCCAAGCCAACTCAGTCCTCATCTGACCACTCCTTAGGCTTTGATATCATAGTTCTCTCTTCATTTTTGTTCCTTCTCTGACTTCTTTGCTGAGATCTCTGCTCATCACTTCAAACAATGTAGTCACTCAAGATGATTCTGTCCTGGTCCCTTTTCACACTAAACAAGTGTTTGTCTGTTTTGAGAATCTCCAGAAAGCTACAGACTTTCCCCTATCAAAAGTTACATGTTTGGTACAATGGGTAATTTCAGGATATTTGGATTCTAGTCTAAGAATTCTTCCTCTAAACGTTCTCCCTGGGCAACCTCACTACTCCAACGGTTTTAACTGTACGCTGACACTCCCAAAATTTTAGCTGCAACCCCATATAGTCAATGACCTACTGGATGTCCAATAGGTTCTTAATCTACCCACAGGGAACTCAACACTGTTGTTCCTAGACAGTTTCCCTCTGTATTTGCATCAAAGCAGCCTTAGCCCATCCACCTAGTCACACAAGTTGCAAATCAGGAGGTCAATCTCATGGCTTTCTTCCCTTCATTCCCCCATCAGCAAGCTTCCTTAGATCCTTTCATCCATCTCTATTAACAGAATGCTAATTACTTCAAGCCTTCAGTCTTGCTTGGATTATGGCACTGATCTACTGGTTTCCCTGCCTCCAGACTAACAACAATCCATCTGTCCTTCTCTACTAGAGTGTAGATTTTTAATAAAAACAAAAAGCACTCCCCCACAGTACCAGTCATTCTGTTATTTTCTTGCTTAAAAATTTTAATGGCTCCCCCAGTGCCTAAAGAATTAACTCAAACTTCCAATTATAACAAAGATTATTCTCGATTGGGTCTTTGATGCTCCCCTGACTCTGCTCCAATATGGCTCCATTCACATACCACCCTCCAGCCACACTGAACTGCTGTTTTCCTACCTTTATGTTGCTCTGTTCACACAGTTATTTCTAGTTAGAATGTCTGCTTCCATTTGTCTATTGAACACCTAATTTCAGTCTCATCTTTTCTGTGTAAAAAAGCCCACCCATTTTAAAAACTCAGCTCAAACGTCATCTCTCCTGTGGAGTCTTCCTTGCCACTCTTGCCCAAGGAGGACTAATTATTGCCAACTTGTGTTCCCATTTCTAATAGAAACTATTGGGTTAGCCAAAAAGTTCGTTTGGGTTTTCTGTACGATCTGATGGAAGAACCCAAACAAACATTTTGGCCAACTCAATATAAGCCATTTGCAGGAGGGAAGCAATCTTATTCCTGGTAACCCTAGCACCAAGCAAAAGTCCCCACTATATCATAGGCACTTACTAAACGTTTCTGAATGTGTAACAAAAAATGTGACTACTAATATGTACGCAATATTAAAAAATCACAAGAGTAACCGTATGAATCCTTAAAAGAAATACAAGCTGCTCAACTTAACCTGAAGATAACAATTCATGGTTTTTTTTTTTAAT